GACACAGAAACTAATACAGAGAGGTCAAGTTCTTTGTACAGCACTTTAGCTATTCAATTTGTGGGTTTTTTTTTTTTCCAAGGCAGGGTTTCTCTGTAGCTTTGGAGCCTGTCTTGTAGCTAGCTTTTTTTTTTTAATTTATTTATTTATTTTTACAGTATTCTGTCTGCCTGTATGCCTGCAGGCCAGAAGAGGGTACCAGATTTCATTAAAGATGGTTGTGAGCCACCATGTACTTGCTGGGAATTGAACTCAGGACCTCTGGAAGAACAACCAGTGCTCTTAACCTCTGAGCCATCTCTCCAGCCCCTGGAGCTAGTTCTTGTAGACAAGGCTGGCCTCGAACTCACCGAGATCCGCCTGCCTCTGCCTCCGGAGTGTTAGGGGTTTTTTTTTTGTTTGTTTGTTTGTTTTTTGTTTTTCAAGACACGGTTTCTCTCCTGTCTTGGAACTAGCTCTTGTAGACCAGGCTGGTCTCGAACTCACAGAGATCTGCCTGCCTCTGCCTCCCAAGTGCTGGGATTATAGGCCTGCGCCACCACCGCCCGGTTCTAGCTATTCAACTTGTATGTAAAACTTTGAACTCCTTGAAAAGGGAGTAAGGCAATGGGGAACAGAGCAATCTGAGTTACTGTGCTCAAGTCTTGGGGAGAACAATTCTGAGACTCAATCCTGTTCCCTCCTACCCTGTATAGAAGCAAAACAAAGAAGTCACCCAAATGGCTCAGTGGGTATATGTTAAGACCCACCTAAATTATTGCCAAATTAAAGCAAGCAATTAACTAAAGGAAAATTCTTGTGTGCGTGCGTGCGTGCGTGTGTGTGTGTGTGTGTGTGTGTGTGTGTGGACTTGGGCTGTCTCTTCTGAAGGTGGGGTTCAAGAGATCAACATTGGACATGGTAAGATAAGGTTTTTATAGCTCAGGGGGTAGGGGCTTTCCAAATGGGGAATTTGGCAGGCAAATGGATGGGGTGGAACAGAAGCTTTCAAGGTAGTTATAATGACCTAATGAAACAAAGACGTATGATTGTGAAGTGGTCACAAGGTGACCATGGCAAGAAAGCCATAGCAAGGTGGTTATAAGGTGGGGTTTTTATTTTTTTTTTTGAGTGGGGGGCGTTGAGACAGGGTTTCTCTGTAGCTTTTTGGAGCCTTTCCTGGAACTCACTCTGTAGACCAGACTGTCCCCGAACTCACAAAGATCTGCCTGTCTCTGGTCTCCTGAATGCTGGGATTAAAGACGTGTGCCACCACCGCCCAGCAAGCTGGTCATATAACAAGGTGGATAGACCAACTTCTTGAAACAGAGGCATGGTTGCTATTTCCTGGAACAGTCAGTACAAAACCATTTGTAGTTAAGGTTACAGGTGGGCCATAGGGCAATCCTTGAGAAACAAATTTAATCATAAACAGGAATGAGCCTAGTTGTTTTTACTGTCTGATGACTTTGAACCCCAAGATGGAGGCAGGCTGGTTCTTCATAAGGCACTGGTCTGGCCACCAGGCCTAAGAACCCTCATGATGGAGAGAGAGAACAGACTCTCAGAAGTCGTCTTTCAACCTCCACACACCTGTGCAATGGCATGTACACGCCCAAGGCCCTGCTTCTTGGTAAAGCAGAGGATCATGGGGAGGCTTTGAAGGTACTCACAGCTGAGGGATGTTCCTTGTCCCCAGGACCATCTACAGGTCCATTCTCTTCTCTGACTTCCTGGCTTTCTTTTTTCTCGAGACAGGGTTTTTCTGTACAGCTCTGGGTGTCCTGGAATGCACTCTGTAGACCAGGCTGGTCTTGAACTCAGAGATCCTGCTGCCTTTGCCTCCCGAGAGCTGGGATTAAAGGCGTGCGCCACCACTGCCCAGCTCCAAAGATGACCTCTTATTTCCTATAGTTTTGGGCAGAGCAATTTCAGATGATCTTGTGAGGAATTGGGGTTAAGCTTAATATTAAGACTCAGATTTCAGAGTTGTGTAAAGCCCCCAATCTTCCTCCCCAAAGTTCAAATAGACACTCATATTGCAGAAGCCATTATCTCCCGCCACTGTGGGACTCTCCACGGATTCATTCACTGCAGCCTTCCCAGTGGAAAAGAAGACATTCTAAAGAGACACTCGTGGGGCTGGAGAGATGGTTCGGTGGCTAAGAGCACTGCCTGCTCTTGCAGAGGACCTGAGTTCACTTCCCAGCACCACATAGTGTTGGGTCCATGGGGGTCACGCAAAGATGGGGACACACCACCAAAGTTTATAAACCAGAAACAAACTTTATTCCAGGAAAAAATAAAAAATTAGAAAAGAAATCTGCATGGCACAAAAAGCTTATCAGCTAGCTGAGACCATAGCCAGAGATGGACTTGTAAGGCTGTGGCAAAGGCTGGTTTTTGAACTCCTCCTTTTATAGCAAGCATTAGGCAATAACAAAAGAATTTTTACAACCTCAAGGTAAAACTCAGATACAAACTGCCCTTCTTTTGTTATTTTCATTAACAGGATTTTTCTCAGTTAAAGCAGTGTTTGTATTCAGTCCATTGTCTCTCCCTCCCTGGCAGTGTTTACCTGGGCTCTGCTCCCCTGACACAGCAAGTTTTAAATGACAGGGAAGGATACGGGAAATGCACAACCAAAGTCAGAGGTCACATCCATCCCACTGTTCGGGTGAAAATGTCACCCCAGTCCCTAACATCCTTACACCCAAAGAGTCTGGAATGTTTGGGTTAAAGCTTCACCTTAGCCCCTGGCATCCATATATCCAAAAAGTCTGGAATGTTTGGGTGGAAACTTCCATTCCAAGACCCCTACTCAGTCTTGCCAAAAGAGCTATAGGCTTTATAGTGGAGTAACCCACTGTTAATTAATCCTTAAGTCACTGAGAAAGCTGCTGCCAGTCTGCTCTCATTCTCCTATACTTTTTATATTTATATTTTGGAGCCTGTCCTGGAACTAGCTCTGTAGACCAGGCTAGTTTCGAACTCACAGAGATCTGCCTGCCTCTGCCTCCCAAGTGCTGGGATTAAAGGCCTGTGCCACCACCGCCCGGCTAGGAATCCGTTTCTTGCTGTGCACTGGCTTGCTCTCTGCCTCTCCCTGAATCCAGACTGGGCTGATAGCCAGCAAGTCCCAGACATCCTCCTGTTTCTGCCCACTTGGCCCAGCTTTTGGATGACAAGCTGGTGTGGCCATGCCCAACTCTTTTACGTGGGTGCTGGAGATGGGGATTCCGAACCTTGTGCTTGCGTAGCAGAGCAAGCCTTCTCATAGCCAGGAAACCATCTGTGTCTGCCACACCCTTTGATGTAAGGGTGTCACTATATAGCCCTGGCTGTCCTGGAGCTCATCATGTAGACCAGGTTTGCCAGAAATTCAGAGATCCACCTGCCTCTGCCTCTCCAGTGCTGGGATTTAAAGGCCTATACCACCATGCCATGTCTGCCATGTTTAATTTTTGATAAAGGATCTTATATAGCCTACACTGTACTCAGACTTGTTTTGTAGCCAAGGATGTCCTTGAACTCCTGGTGAGTGCTGGGATGTCAAGTGTGTGCCACCGCACCTTGTTAGTGAGATGCTGGGAGGGAGCTCAGGACCTCAGGCACGCTAGGCAAATACCATCCCACAAAGCCCCAGCCTGAGACCTAGTTGGGTCTTTAATTGAATGACTCAGCCTGACTTGTTAGAACCACCAGAGCCCAGGTTCCAGCCGTAACAGCTCTAGCAACAATAGGGTTAAATGGCCCCACAAAGGGGCTGGTGTCCCCATCCAGAGAACAGAGAGCCTTACTGTGGTGCTACCAGGCTTTGATGCAATGTAGGGAGGAAGGAGGGAGGGTGGAGGGAGGTAAGCTCCTGGAAGGCCTCAAGGTTCCCTACGAACAATGCCAACTGAGGCAAGGGTCAGGCAGTGGTCCAGCACTGAGCTGCCTCTGCCAATGGTGCCAGAGGCACTAGCTGGGTCTGGGTTTGGCAGCAGCAACATTAGCAGCAGCAGCAGCAGCTGACACTCCATTGTGGCCCTACAGTGGGGAGCACTTGGCAGGGATCACAGCCTCTCTGAAAGCTTGGCCTCAGGCAAGACTGTCTCTACCGCTTGCTTCCTCTCCTCTGGGAATCCCAGGGCTGTCTTCGGGCCAAAGATCAACTAAAGCCAAAAGTCACCTGCCCAAGATTAGGGAAAGCAAGGGTAGTTAAGTGGTGGGGCAGGAGGGCAATCCAGGGCCTCAATGCCATGTGGCCTCTGGAATGAATTAAGTCTCTGTCTCATCTGGAAAATGGGGCTCATGGTCCTGGAGTCTCAGATTTGTAAACAATGAAAAGTCATTAACAACAGGGCAAGGTGGGGGAACCCTGGGATCCTAGCCCTGGGGAGGCAGAGGCAGGAGGATCAGTAGTTTAAGGCTATTCTCTCCTATGTGAGAGACTGTCTAAAAATAAAAAATTACACAGAGAAACCCTAACTCAAAAAACCACCACCACCACCACCACCACCACCACCACCCAACAACAACAAGGCTAAGTAGTTGAGAGTACATACAGCTCTTCCAAAGGACCTGAGTTCAGTTCCAAGCACCCACATCAGGCGGCTCACACGTGACTGTATCTCCAGCTACAGAGGATGCCTTTGACCTCCACAGGTATTTGCACACACATATGCAAAATTAAAAATCATAAAAACACTGCTCTAAGAATCAAAACAAAAATAACTTGGCATGGCCGGGCAGTGGTGGCGCAAGCCTTTAATCCCAGCGCTTGGGAGGCAGAGGCAGGCGGATCTCTGTGAGTTCGAGACCAGCCTGCTCTACAAGAGCTAGTTCTAGGACAGGCTCCAAAACTACAGAGAAACCCTGTCTCAAAAAAAAAAAAAAAAACAAAAACAAAAACAAAAAAAAAACTGGGCATGATGGCACACACATTTAAACCAGGGCTTAGTATTAGGAATATTTCCTAACGCAAGCTCCCTGCTGACACAAAAATTCCCAATCAAGCCAAATCAAAACAAGCCAAATTAAGAAATATCCAGGTTTAATGGGAGTTCTGCACTCTCAGGTGGACTCGAGGGGGAAACCAGGAAGCCAGGAAAAAGCGACCCCGAGGAGGAAGAAAGGGAGACCAAATGTTCCTCTTTTGGGGGGGGGGGGGAATCACTTAAATACCCTGGGGAGGGGAGTAGTCCTGACCCCACCCCCAGGGAGGGGTCAGGATCTGGCCTGCTGGGATTTGAAGTCCAGACCAGGCCTGGGGGCTGGGATAGATGCAAGGGACTGGGGCCTATGCTCCCAACTTGACATTCCAGACTCTTTGGATATAGGGGTGACAGAAAATTAGAATGGTAATTATGACAAACATTTAGGCTCTCTTTGGGAAAAAAGAGCGTAGACTCAAATCTGGCTACTTCCTGCGGGCACGGGGTGGCGTGGGGAAGGGGAGAGCCAGGTGTCCACGCTTAGCAAGAGGTGTGGCTGGAAAGGCATCCCATGAACTGTCATCCCGGAAAAGGCAGGCAGCTGTTCCTTGGGGGAGATGAGAAGGCAGGTGTCTAGGGAAAAAAAAAATTGTTATCACTAAAGATGAGTGTGCCAGAATGAGGAGCAGGTAGGCCCTTCATTGTAGCATCCTGGAAAACCGGAGGGTGGAAGGTCCTGTCTGCTGGGCAGACCAAGTGTCTTGAGTAGGTGCCCGCTTGAGCCTGGAGAGATGGTACCAGCATGGGTGTCCCAAGAGCTTAGCAGCCAAGGGTGTGGTGAGGATTACCGTGTGAGATCCTGTCCATCAAGGTTCGGGAGACCTAAGAGTTAACTGTTTAAGGAGTACTCTGTCCCCTGGGGAGAGCGGGGCAGGTTTAGGGGTATTAGGGTCCTCTGGTGTGGGGACAGGGAGACAACTGTCAGCGTGGGAACGGAGAAGGGACCTTAAAAGGGAGAGGTAGGGTAGGTACCCCGCCAGTGGAGGAATTTGGACTGGGAGGTGATGATTAAGGAGAAAGGGCCTGCCATAAAGCAACTCAAAAGGGCTCAGGCCCATAGGGGAGCATGGGGTGGGAGTGGCCCTGAGGCGAGGGCTAAGATAAACTGAATTCAGTGGAAAGCTTGGTTAGTTGTTTGATGAGTCCAATTGTCCAGGAGATGTTGAGAGCTTCTGACACCAGCTCCATGACCCTGAGCTACGGCATCTGCTGTTTCCTTGGAGACTGGAAATGCTTCTATCCATCCTGTACAAGTGTCCACAAGTGTTAAGAGATAACAGAGTTTTTTATGAGTAGGCATATGGGTAAAATTAACCTGTCAATCTTTGCCCGGTTGGTGTCCACGAAGCTGGTGTATGTGGAGAGCTCCTTGTGGGTTGGCCTGGGCACACGTCTGGCAGGAGGAGTGAACCTATAAAATAGAATCTTGGAGATGGGTGGGGTTAAAAGGGGCTCCAAGAAGCAGAACAAAGCTTTGGGGAAGCGGCTAAAGATGTTTTCCCCCAGTAAATGTGCTGGGCAAGCCGGTATCACTAAGAAAGAATGAGAAAAAAATGTCCTGCAAGATGGTAGGGCAGTGGCAAAGTTTTAAGTGGGGAGGAATGGGTCCCGTCTACCCCCATAGCTGAAATTTGTGAGGGAAACTTAAGGCCCGAGTGAAAATAAAAGTAATGGACTTACCCTCGTCACTTGTAGCGTGACCCTAGGCTCGGATAGGGCTACGGGATATACCAAGTTTGGGCAGCGTCAATCCTCTGCAAGGCTGAGACGTTTGAAGGCTGGCACAGTTTCGCTTGCCGATGGTGATGAGGCCGGACCTCCATGGCTTGGCATAGAGGACAAGCCCACATGGGGGCACCGTGATTTCCAGTGTCCAGGTTGCTGGCAGATAGGGCACAACCTAGGAGCAGGTGTAGTGCAATATTGTGCCACGTGACACACTTGACAGAGCCCTGTGATTGGCTTCTATTGTCCCCCTTCCAGCTGCTAAGGCCTGGGCCTGTAGATTTTTGTAGCTTTGTCTGTCTGGAAGACTCATCTGATTCCTCTCAGGCATTAAAAACTTTAAAGGCCATTTTCACCAATTCTTGTATAGGAGTTTGGGGACCATCCTCAACCTCTTTTTTTTTTTTTTTTAAACTCTTTCCCAATATCTGGTACTGACTGAGGAAGCAGAATGATTAGCAGAAAAGGAACCTAGCTGCTTTTCTACCTGAGAGATTTGGAAGAGAAAAGGGAGCATGGGAGGAGCTAGCCCAGTGAGCAGAGGGGGTCCAGGAGTGGAGCGCTGAGGTAGAAGAGGAGGTGAAGGTGGAAGTTGACCTTGAACCTCCAAATTGAGAAAGGAGGGGAAAGAATGTTGCTCCACAGGAGGGGGTTGGGAAGTTCGGGCTTGAGGGAGTGGGGGAGGGGCCAGTGCCTCTGGTGCTGTGAGACACTGGCTACTAAGGGGTGGTGGGGGGGGAGAGCGCAGAGACCAAAAACCATGGGCATATATATGTAAGCTCTGTTTATTTGTATCAGACAGGCTCAATTTTAAAAGATTTTCGTTACAGGGGCAACAGCAGACATGGCTTTGAACTGTAAGTGCCCATTTTAGAGTCTATGCCTAAGTTCATTTCAGAGCATCCTCCAAAATGGCTCTTAGGTCCCAAAAGGGGCCACGGAGATTGGATGCCGGTGTCCCGATACAAACAAGGCAGGCGAATTTCTTTGAGTTTGGGTTATCATGGTCAACACAGCAACTCCCAGGCCAATCAGGGCTACATGGTAAGACTCTGCCTCAATATACAAAGAATGAAACAAGGGCTGGAGAGATGGCTCAGTGGTTAAGAGCACTGGTTGCTCTTCTGGGGGTCCTGAGTTCAATTCCCAGCAACTACATGGTGGCTCACAACCACCCATAATGAGATCTGGTGCCCTCTTCTGGCCTACAAGCAGGATACTGCATAATTTTTCTTTTTTTTTTTTCGAGACAGGGTTTCTCTGTGGTTTTTGGAGCCTGTCCTGGAACTAGCTCTTGTAGACCAGGCTGGCCTCAAGCTCACAGAGATCCGCCTGCCTCTGATAAATAATTTAAAAAAAAAAAAGACAAAGAATGAGATAAATAAAATAAAATGAAGCCACACAAATTGGCGACGCTATTCTGTTCCCTGAACCCTAGGTGGATCCCTGGTTGCAGGCATCCTGAACACAAAGTGACTTTGAATCCAGACTGAAATAGGAGTGGTTTCCCTCATCCTACGACTCCCAGAGAAATCAGTCTACTTATCCAGGAACACACAGCAGTAAACAGCAGAACAGACAGACAGACAGACAGACACACACACACACACACACACACACACAAGCTTTTACAGTAGATTCTCCCTCGGCTCATTTCTCCAATGCTATCAAAGGCTAAAGAGTAGAAGGGACCATCCTCACAGGAGTCACTGGGAGCTAAGACTGAGGCAGGGGAGGTGATAGGCCTGAGGTGGCCCAGTGCAGAAGGGAACAATGAGATGGGGAGGGGTGTCTTCAGTCCTTAGTGAGGCCTCACCAGGCCTAGAGTTCCTCAGGGCAAGTGCCCTAGGGAGCTGAGGGCAGATTCCTGCCTTCCACTGTACTGAAAGTGAGAGGCTGGGGTTATTCAAGTGACACTCTGTGGAGACAAAGGCAGAGACACAGGTGAGGTCATAAGCAAGGTGACCTCTGCTTCTTGGAGCTGACCAATGAGATGCAATGCCCTCTTTTGGCCTCCATGTCTCCTGACACATGTACACATAAATATAACTATTAAAACAACAATGGGAGAAGGCTGGGGTAGCTGGAAAATAAGCAAGAAGCTGTGGGGAAAATGGCAGGAGGTGGGTGGGGTTTGTGGGGTGCAAAAAGCCTTTGAACAGAGAGCAAAGGGAAGCCAGGGGTGGACTGGGAATGTGATGGGATAAGAATCACAGGGCCAGCCCTCAGGTGTCCCTGGGTTTGAAGTCTGCCCATGGTCACACACATCACCGATCCAGACACTAAGTCATCCAATCTAGGCAGTTTGAGACTAAGACCCTTCACCTACATCCTGGCAGGTTCCCTGAGTGTGGAGAAGGGCGGGGCGACCTAGTCCAAGGTTCATGTCTGCCTTTGAGCTGGCAGGGCCTCTCCCTGTCCAGTGGGGGAGGCTTGGAGATTTGGGTGGCTGAGTTAGGATACTGCCCCCAACACATGAAAGCAGCCAGCAGCAATGGCTGGTTCCCATGGAAACCAAGAGCTTCTGGGAAAGGCACACAGGTCCAGAGCTATGAGAGGGGGAAGGGAAGCCTATGAATATGGGAGGAGGTTCTGAGGCCACTCTGAACCCCATGGGCCACACAGGTTCAGCATGGTGACCATGCTGAGACTTCTGTTTGTGATTTCAGCTGCCTAGGGACTTGCAGAATGTTGGGGGGTTGAGATGGTAACAAACTGTGTATCTCACGTATGGGGAAACAGACTCAGAGAGAAGTGGGGGGCCTACAACATTCAGTGAGGGATAGCAGGGTGGGGTGACAGTGTGTGGAAACAGACTACCTGCTCAGAGCCACAGAGCCCAGCAGGGGCTGTGCTGTCTTTGCACCCCCAGCACAGGCCAAGTGACGCGGATCCCAGTCTCAGTGGCCTATGTAATACAGGCTATGCCCCAAACCCCTCTAGTGCCCGCAGCAACCTCAAATGCCCATGGCCTGTTCTCCCTGAAGCCATAGTCACAGCTGTGCTGTGAGGAGATCCTCTATGCCGGTGTTGGCAGCTGCAGCATCAGGGACCCGGGCAGACTCCAATGGATGAGTCCGAAAGCCCTGAGTGTGCCCGCAGCACCAGAAGTTCCAGATCCATTTTATAGGGAAGAAAAAGCTGAGGAGCCCGATTCTAAATCACATCATTTATTATTATGATGTGCGTGTGCACACCCTAGCACACATCCGGAGGTCAGAGGACAACAGGGCAGCAGTCCCTTCCCTCCCCCACCACTGGATCTTGGGGAACCAGCTTTGGCAGAAGCACCTCTCCCATGGAGCCTGCCCAAGGAGCAGGGTTATCAACAGCCTGGAGTGGTGCCTGGACTGCAGCCCAGTCAGACACCAGCTTGCAGGGTCCCCAAACTCCAATAGAATACTGCAGTTCCATGTGCCCTTTGCCCCAGAATTGTTGAGCAAAACTGTGGGCGGGAAAGGGCACTGGAAGGGGTGGGCCCTTAGGTCATCAGTGCTGCCTGTGGGGACACAGGACCCAAAGGCTGCTTCTGTCCTTCCCTCACCACTGACCTGCTGAACACTTTTGCTCTGGGTGGCATGGGTGAGGAGCAGGGCACAGAGCTCACATGTTCTGGGGTTTGAACTCGGTGAGCTGGGGTCATGGTGCCAGGTCACCCCTCTTTCCTGTCCACAGTTCACGAAGCTCCACACGGCAGCCCAGGTCTCGTAATGCGGCCTTGGCTACATCCTCGCAGTCTGGGTGGGCAGCCCGGGCTTGTGAAATGAGCTCCTCTGCCCCCAGTTCCAGGATGGGCTTGGAGAAGACCTGGCTGCGGGACACCAGGTTTCGGATCAGCATACAAGCCTGTTTCTGGAAGAGAGATGGGATGTGAACAGGGGGAAGGGCCTTGGCTGGATTCTCCCTGACCTCAGTGGACTCCTCAGAACAGGAGACAGACGTTCAGCACACAGCTAGACTAGGCCAGCCTATCTCCACGTTCTCACAGGACTTTCTCAGCCCCATTTCCCACAGCTCCTAGGTGAGCACTTAGGACAGTATCTGGGGTAGAGGCTATGATTTCGGGGCGGACAGTGACACATTGTCCCGAGGCAGGCCCTGGAGACCTACAGTGAGGCCACAGGTAATGGAGCGCCAAAGTACATTTCTCAATGAGTCACCCATTTGGGTCGGTTTCAGGAACCTTCATGGATCTTAAAGTCCCCGATGCACAGCTCGTCTGCAGAGAACCTTGTTTCCACTCTCCCACACAGTCCTGCATCTGGGCGGCTCCAAACACCCTACACAATGGGGATGCTGTGCATGATCCCAATGTTTAGGAGTGACAGCGGACATGATGGCACAGACTGATAATCCACAGCTCAGGGCCGAGGACGCAGGACCCTGACCGCCAGGCCTGTGGCAGCTACAGAGCTATAGCCTGTTTCAGAGGAAAAGCAGGGCGGGGTGCCTGCCCAGCATGTAATAGGCCCTGGGGTTCTGTCCCTAGCATGAGTGTTGAAGCACAGGCCTGTCACTACAGCACTCAGCAGGGGACGGCAGGAAGATCAGGAATTGAAGGTTGCTCTTGTAGCCAAAAAAGTTGGAAGCCAGTCTAAGTTACATTTGACCCTGTCCAAACAAACAAACAAAAATGAGAGGAAGGAGATAAAAACAGAAACAGGACAGCCTCTGGTGTTGTGTATGTGTGTGTGCACGTGTAGTCAAGTGCCCTAACTGTCCTGGAACTCACTCTGCAAGGCAGGCAGGTCTTGAATTTGTGGTAGTCCTCCGGTCTCCTGAGGACTGGGGTCACAGCTCCCACACCTGGCTTGACATGCTGACGCAGTGACAAGGAAGGAACCTGTGTCCGGGCTGTGGCGAGCACAGCTACTCACTCACCTGGACGCCAGCCTCCTGCGGGTGTGCTTTCATGGCCTGCAGGGCTGCCAGCGCGCCACCACCCTCCACAATGACGCGGCTGTTCTCAGGCTTGCGCAGGGCCAGCACGCAGAGCGCCGCGCAGCTTTGCTCACACACCTAGGGGTGTAGGTGCACACCTGTGTCAGCACACCTGGCCACCCCACCATGGGTATTCTGCAGCTCCCCTCAGTGGGCCTCTGCTAGCTGTGTGTCACCGCAGTGGTGGGCTGGGTGAGCCTACCAGGAACACTGCGGTCCTTCACCTAGTCTTCCTGACAGTGAGGTGGCAATCCCTGTAGATCCCGCCATTGTCCTGCCCATGTGTCTGAGGTGGGTACCTGAGGGCTGGCCAGGTGCCGAGTCATGGCAGCCACAATGGACTCTGTAGCACCTGCCTGGACAATGGCGTCCTTCACATTGTCGTTGCCTGCGATAGCTCTCAGGGCACTGAGCACTTGTTTCACGAGGTCCTGTGTGGATGACAATGGGAAGTCACCCTGGCATGTGTGCCAGCTGCACACCTCCTGCTTGCTGGATGTGAGGGTGAGGAAACCCTTCTGTGTCTGTTTCTGTTTGGACACATGTGGTCATCCCAGTTACAGGCCAGCCTGTGACAAAAGGATCATGAGACTGAAAGAAGACAGGCTGGCTCTTGAGGGTGACCTGCCTAATCCACCTCTCATGGGTAGGGCATGAGATGTGGCCCACTGAGCAGCCTGAACTAAGGACGATTTTCCATTTCCTTACTCCTACTCACTGTAGAGAATGTGCAAGGAGGATTTGGGCAGTAGCTCAGCTGGTAGTGTGTTTGCCCCCCATGCACAAGGCCCTGAGTTCTAGCCCCCACACCAACCACACAGAGCTTGGGCAAGGTAGCACACTTGGATCAAATTCAAGGTCAGCTGGGACTACACGAGAACTTGTGACCCTGCCTCATTCTTTCTGTCTGTCTCTCTTTCTCATAAACACATGCATGCATGCACGTACACATACAGTCCTTCATCCCAGTACTTGGAAGGCTAAAGCAAGAGGAGTGCAATGTTATGACCAGACTGAACTTTGTAGAGCAAGACCAGTTTCAAACTATAGTACATAGGGCTGCAGTGACTTGGTGGCAGAGGGCTAACATGTAGGAGGCTCTAAGTCTCACTAGTATGGAGGGGGGCAAATGGAACCAGAACCCTGAGAGCTGAGAGTATGGGCAGACTTTCTACACCTGAACCTTCACCCTTGCCCTCTCCTCAGTGGATCAGTCTGGTCAGCTGTGGCCTCAGAGGCAGGAGCCCTGGGGGGAGGAAGAAGACTTGGGCTCCACCTGGTGGTCGCTGCAGTCAGTCAGCAGGGTCACAAGGATGCCAAGGCCTCCAAGGTCGATGACCTCCTGGCAGAATTCATTCCGCACAGCCAGGCGGGACAGAGTGCTGAAGAGCTCGCTCAGGACTCCTGGGTTGTCAGGGAACGCTGTGCAGAGGCAGGAAGGGAAGAGTTAGAGTTGGGAGGGGCCAGAGACAAAGGAATGTGTAGAAAACAGCCTGTTAGTCTCCGGAGTACTTTCCACTTCCCAAGCTGGCTGGGGTCCTCCAACAGGCTCAGGCGAGAAATGGCCCCTGGTAGATTTGCCATGCCCCCCTGCTTCTGACATTCCCTAAACACACCTTAATCCCAGCTCTGGAGGCAGAGGCAGAGGATAGCCTGGTCTACAACACAGCAAGTACCAGGGCTTCATAGTGAGAGAGTCTAAAAGGAAGGAAGAAAACCAAACCACCAAAATAAGTCTTCCAACGTGACCTTGAGGTTCTAGGCTGGGAACGACTTTTCTCAAGACAGGGTTTCTCTGTGTACCCCAGGCTGTCCTGGAACTTGCTCTGTAGAGCAGACTGACCTCGAACTCAGGGATCCACCGGCCTCTTCCTCCCGAGTGCTGGGATTAAATGTGTGTACCACCACTGCCCTGCTGGGAATGACTTTTGTAAACAGAGCAGCAAATTGGAGAGGAACAGGTGCAGACAGACTACAGACTACCCCTGATGGTGATGGTCAGCAGTTTTCATCTCTGTGGCATTTGCTGCCTATGACCACCTGGGACCCCTAGCGTCTCCACACAGGTTGATCTAAGTGAGCTATTGATGTGGTCACCAATCACACCATCTGCTTTAATAAAGGGAGGAGTGTGGTACAGTGGGTGGGACCTATCCAATCAGGTAAGGGTTTTGGTAAGTGGGGAACTGAGGCTTCTCAGTGGACAAAGACTCTCCCTGGGGTTGCTGGAAGTCTCTGGTCTGCCCTGGGGTCTTCAGACTAGAATGTGAGCCATCCTCTCTATACTTGGGGGTTGGGTGCAGTTTAGAGGTGGAGCCCGAATGTAGCACTGAGGAGGCTCCGATGTCTGTTCCTGCTCTGCCTCTAGCCAGTGGGACTCCAGCTGCTCCACACAAGCATGGGAGGAGTTGGCAGGCTTTGCAGATGGTCAGGCCTCAGCCGCTCTGAAGTGTGAGCAGGGACTAAGACAGCCTTCCTGTCCCTCAGAGTGGGAATACCACGCACAGGCTTAGCCATGGAGCCACAGCCAAGGGACAGGTGGGGAACTTGTCCTTTTTAGCATCTTCTGGGCTCAATTCTCAGGGTTTTATATCTTTGTTGTTTTGAGATTATGTGGCTTTGGTTGGGCTAGAATTTGCCATGTAGGCCTGGAGGGACTCAGATTCAACTATCTCTCTCTCTCTCTGGAACTACAGGTATGTGTCACTACGGTGCCACTACAGCTAGCTCTTTCAGACATTTCATTTAAGGTATGAAGATCAACATCATGATTGTCCACAGCTGACTCAGCAGCCACCTGAAGCTGGATACATGTATGTGCCAAAGTATTTATACATAAGAACAAAGTGCTGGGCTGCTTTATTGTTTTATAGTGCTGAGGATGAACCCAGGACATCCTATATCCAGGCAGTTCTCTGAGCCACACCCCCAACCCCTCACTGGGGGATTCCAGACAGTGGCTCCACCCCAGACACGCCCCCAGCCCCTCATTGGGGGACTCTAGACAGGATGCTATGGTTGGGCTACCCTCTCAGCACACCCACCCTACTCTTACCAAGGCTCCTCTTACCTCTGGCAGCCTCAATCAGCACTTTCAGGCCTCTGTTCTCTTGAACAATCATCTTTGCATGCTCATGGGCGTGGCCAAAGGGCACTCGGATGTCATCATCGAAAGTCATGACCCGCAAGGCCCAGCAGGCCTCCCTGACCACATCGGCGTGCTGGCCATGCTGCGTGATAGCAGTGGTTAGCAGGGGCAACACTCCGGCTTTCACCAGACTCTGTCGATTCTGTTCATGTTTCAGGCAGGCATGGCGCACACAGCGGATCCCACAAGAGGTGAGTTCAGTGTTGGAGACATTCTGTGCCAGCGTGGCCACGAGCAGCTGCTGGCCCTGGGCGTCCAGAAGGTCAGGCTGGCCATCAATCAGTACTGCCAGGGCATTGAGAGCCTGGAGCAGAAGGCCCTGGTCACTTGTGGCAGCAAGTTGCCAGGCAGCCAGGAGGATTGGGTAGGCCCCCTTCTGGGCTGCCAGGTAGCGGCTGGCCTTCTGCTGCCTGCACTGGTCACAGAAGCGGACAAGGTGGGCTGACACCTCCTGGGGCCGAGACCCATTCAGGGACTCCTGCAGATCATTGAGGACCTGCAGAGAATGTCAGTGTTAGTTGCTGCTGCTAGGCTCTGAACCTCTGGGAACCTTGCCCCAGAATCTGGAAATTTCTAAACCTACACTGATAATTTATGACAGAATCTTAGCCAGGCGACGATGACCCATGCTTTTAATCCCAGCACTCGGGAGGCAGACACAGGCGGATCTCTGTGGGTTTGAGACCAGCCTGGTCTACAGAGTGAGTTCCAGGACAGTTTCTTTTCTTTTTTAAGATTTATTTATTTATCACGTATACAGTATTCTGTCTGCTTGTATGCCTACAGTCAAGGAGAGGGCTCCAGATCTCATTACAGATGGTTGTAGCCACCATGTGGTTGCTGGGAAGTGAACTCAGGACCTCTGAAAGAGCAACCAGTGCTCTTAACCTCTGAGCCGTCTCTCCAGCCCTCTCCAGGACAGTTTCTAAAGCTACAGAGACACCATGTCTTGAAAAATCAAAAAAAAAAAAAAAAAAAGGCAGAATCTTTGTGTGTGTGTGTGTGTGTGTGTGCGCGTGCACGTGTACACACATGCATATGATACTCTCAGAATCCAGAATAGGAAGAAGGATCCCTCAGAGCTGGAATTACAAGCTGCTGTGAGCCACACCATGTTAGCGCTGGGAATTGAACCTGGGTCCTTTGTAAGAGAAGCAAGCACACTTAACTGCTGAACCATCTTTACAGTGCCAAAACAGGGTCTTGATATATAGCCCAGGCCTTAAAATTATGTTGTACAAGTTGGCCTTGAACTCACAGGAAACCTCCTGCAACAGCTTCCTGATTGCTGGGATCCTGTATATGAGCCACCATATAATAATCGTATTAAAAAGAAAAACAAATCTTTGATGGTGTCTTATGTATTATGGGTGTTTTGCCTGCACATCTGTCTATGCATCACTGATATACATCGCCATGCCTGACGATGGCAGAAGAGAATGTCATAGCCCGTAGAACTGGGGTTATGATGGGTGTGAGCTGTCATGTGAATGCTGGGAACTGAACCTGTGACCTCTGGAAAAGCAGCCAGTTTTTTGTTGTTGTTGTTTTGTTTTCTGAGACAAGGTTTCTCTGTAGCTTTGGAGCCTATCCTGGAACTAGCTCTTGTAGACCAGGCTGGCCTAGAACTCACAGAGATCCGCCTGCCTCTGCCTCTGAGTGCTGGGATTAAAGGCGTGCGCCCGCGGCCCCGCTGAGCAGCCAGTTTCTTAGACGCAGAATCAGTTCTCCAGCCCTTCTCTGGCCCCGCTGTTTTAAGAACTGTGGATTGAACCTAGGGTTTAATGCAGCAGAAGTGCTCTACCACTGAGTTATAAACATCTTCAGGACCCAACTTTTTTTTTTTCATTAAAAAAATTTTACTTTTATGTCATGCATACCCACATACCCCACAATATGAATGCAGAGAGCAGGGGATGCTCCGTGGGAACCAGGGCTCTCCTCTACCACATATGTCCTGGGGACCAAACTTGATGTGTAAGCACAAGGAAGGACCTGAGTCCAGACCCCTAGAACCCAAGTGAAGCTGGCCAGAGACCCTAGCTACATTGTGTGCCCTTGACCCCAGAACGTGGGAAGTGAGATCACACATGCACTGTGTCTCCCAAACATGTCCTCCGAGTAGCTCAGCTCTCCCTAGATGCTGGGTAATCTTCATATGGACTTGGGACACTTGACTGTAGACCTCTACTGGTCACAGGTGGACAGACCCACTGACATTCAGATCCTGATTTCTGGCATATGGGACGTGGGGAAGAGACCCTCCAGAGCATCGCAGTGCTGAGGGAGCCAGCTGCTCCTACCTGCAGGACATCATGTGTGGGCTCCTGGAGACTGTCCACAGATGCTTTTGGTGCTGCCTTCACAATGCTGCTCAGATCAACCCCTGCAGAGGGAAGAGGGGCTGCTGAAGACAAGTCCCTCAGGTAGGAGGTCCCTGCTGACGACTTGGCTTCCAGGGTTCTCCCCAATGGTTCCTCCGGTTGCACAGGCCAGCCACAGGCTACACGGGGTAAGTGTGCCACTGCTAAGGCCAGCCACAGGCTACACGGGGTAAGTGTGCCACTGCTAAGGCCGTGCCACACATGCTGTCTCTGGGGTGACAGATTGTGCCTGGCAGACAGGTGTAGAGGGAACCCCACAGAGCCTCTTCCTTTAAACTCAATCCTTACTGGTCCCCATGTGCATCTCAGCCTCCTGAGGCCCCAAAAGCATCCCTTCTGTGGTAGGCACTTCGTGTGTGTGGGTGTGTGTGTGTGCTTTAGGTTTCTCGTTTGCTTTTGAGATAGAGTCTCACTATGTAGATCAGGTTGACCTTGGACCACTATATAGACTAGGCTAGCCTCAAACTCAGATTCTACGTTCTTCTATCTCCCAAATTCTGGGATTAAGAGAATGTGTTACCACATCAGCTAGGGGTAAGTTTTTTGAGGTAGTGTCTTGTTATGTAGCCAGGCTGACCTTAAATTCACAGTACTCTTCCAGCCTCAGCTTCCCAAGTACTGAGATCAGCTGGTCGTAGTGGTGGATATTTGTCATCCCGCATTGGGAAAGGGGGGCAGGAGGATCAGGGTTTAAGATAGCCTTAGCTACATAATGAGTTAAAAAGCTATATAAATCAGTCTTAAAAAACAAATCTAAACAATAATAAAGACAAGGAAGAGAGATGGGATCACAGACATGTACCACCATGCTGTGTTTTGCTGGACACTGTATGTTTCTGTGTATGTTTATATGTATGCAGATTTTCATGTGTATGTGTAGATGGTTATGTGGTGGTATTCATGTATGTGTGAATAGTCTGTGGTGGGCGTTTGTGTGTATGGATGGTCATGGTTGGTGTCCGTGTCTGTGTCCGTGTGTGTGTGTGTGTGTGTGTGTGTGTGTGTGGTCATATAGGAGGATGTTCCTATGCAAAGGTCATGGAGGCCCAAGGTCAAACTCAGGCATCATTCCTCAGCAGCTGTAATCTTTCTGTTTGAGACAGGGTCTCACTGGAACCTGGAGCTCACCAATTAGGCTAGAATGGCTGGCCAGCAAGCCCCAGCAATCCACCTGTCACCACCTCTCGGTGCTGGGATGACAAACATCCCATTGTGGGGGTATAGTGTGGTGTGCATGACTTAAATCTCAGCACTCAGGAGGCAGAGGCAGGTGGATCTCTGTGAGTTCCAGGCCAGCCTAGTCTATTGAGCAAGTCCAGGACAATTAGAGCTACATAGAGAAATCTTTTTTCGAAAAACCAAACCAAACCAAAACAAGCCCCTACCAAAAAAAAAAAAAAAAAAAAAAAAAAAAACAAACAAACAAACAAAAAAACCAAATCCCCCCCAAAAACAAAAAAACATACCATATCAAGCCATCAAGGCTGGCTTTTTACATGGGTTCTGGGGACAAACCCAACAAGGATTTTAGCAAGTGAGTTGCCTCTGGCGTCAAGCTTCCCATGTTTACTTGACTGCCCACTATGGCACCCATTTCTGTGCCCTGGAGGCAGACCTCTCTCTTACCTTCCAGCTGACCTCACTGTTACCAGGGAGGGCCAGATAGAGAGTGGAGAAAAGAGGGAACGGGTGTGCTCATGCCTAGAATCCAGCCTCTACCAATCCACATGTGGTAAACTCATCTTGAGCCTCTGCTCTTTGTCACGTAGCTCAAGAGCTCCAAACCCTACCGGCACCACCACCATCGCCATCACAAGTAGCCCTACCATCCACTCTCCTCCATGACTTGTGACTGACTCCAGGATTGGCAATATTCCATGTGGTTCTAAGGTGAAGTGGGGTGCTGTTGATGCATGGAGACAAGCAAGGATGGGGTCAGTCGCACCCTGTTATGTCAGGCTGAGGGCTGTGGCCTCTAAGAGCCAGTACCGAGCCCACCACCCTACCTTGTGATTCAAACTGCTCCACCGCCTCTCGAACGGCCTCCTCAGCGCCCATCTCAAACTCCTCAATGTTCTCCCGCACTGCAGCATCGAAGGTTTCCTGTGTGATGCGCTTGGAAGCCATCTCTGCATACTGAGCGGAAAGGAACATTTGGTCAAGGAACACCCTCGTGGTGAAAATGCCACTTGGGCACACCTGTGATGGCAGCTCTAGGGAGCAGACAGAAAGGTCCTGGCCAGTGGGAAGCCAGCCTCAGCTACACAGTGAGACACTATCTCAAAAAGGCAAAAAGAAAAGGTCTGCTGGTCAGATGCATCATAAAAGAAAAAAAAAAAAAAAAAAAAAAAAAAAAACAACAGAAGGCCAATTAGGTCTGCCAGAACACAATGACAGTCTTGAGAGCACTCTTCTGTCTAGATTACCCTGACCTCTCCTCTTTTGTTGTTGTTGTGTGTAGCCCTGACTGTCCTGGAACTCACAGAGATCTGCCTGCCTCTGCCTCCTTCCCGAGTGCTATAATTAAAGGCGTGCACCACCACCGCCAGGTTTCTCAGAAGTGCAGAAGAACTCAGGCTGTCGCCCAAACATTTGAGATGCCGTCTAGATGCTGAGATGCTGGCGAGAAGGCTCAGGGTTAAGAGGGCATGCTGCTCTGTGAGTGCTGGGGTACAGTCTCCGCAAGACACCCACACCTGCCACTCCAGCACAGGACACCCGAAACCCGCACGCACGCGCACATACACACTAATAATACAAACACAAATGATATTAGTATTAAAACAATTTTTAAATTGTTATTATTATTATTATTACTAAAGCACGAGTAAACCAGAGGCAGGCTAATCTCTGAGTTCAAGGCCAGCCTGGTCTACGGAGGCGTTCAGGACAGCCAGGGCTACAGAGAAATCTTGTTTTGAAAAACATAAAACAAACGAACAAACCTAATCTCAGCACACCGGAGGCAGAAGTGATGAACCACTGTGAATTCCAGTGAGAGTCAGTCTCAAATAAATAAATAAATAAATAAATAAATAAATTTAAGTAAATAAAAGCTGCCTGGTTCAAGCATCTCCTCTCTCCCATTCAATTACTTTCTCCATTTTTATTATAAGATAGAGCTTCTGTAGACCTGACTGTTTTCTAACTTGCTTCGTAGCTAAAGCTGTACTTGAATTCCTGATCCTCCAGACTCTTCCAACAAACAAGCCACTGGTTTATCTGTTGTTTTTGAGGCTGGGTCTGGTAACCGCAGCCCAAACTGGTATGGAATCGTCCTGCCTCCCGATTCTCGAGCTCACCACAACGCCTGTTCTTGCTGTTTTGTTTGGTCGTTTTTACTGTGAAAAACAGTGTGTCTACGTAGCCGAGGCAGGTCTCGAACTCACAGCAGTCCTTCTGCCTCTGTCTCCCTCAGAGCAGCATGACAGATGCAGCAAGCACGCTTGCTCCATCACCATTATATCCACATCAGGATCTGCGTCCCCCGAACCCAGAGCCACACTGACTTCACCTCCTGTCCTCCTTGCTCCACTGCCTAGAATGCAGCTGGACACGCAGCAGGTGCCCAGCACACAGCAGTAGCACGAGAATAAAATGAATGAAAAGAACGTGAACCCGAGAAGCGAAAACATTTCGTTGCTAAGAATCTTTAGTACAATCCTCTCCTTCCACCAATCCAAGTCCCCGAGGGTCGCGCAGACACCACCGGCCCGACCCCAGGACGCCCACTCCCCTCTGCGCCCACCGCAGGACTAGCCGGCCGGCGTTCCTCACCGGGTCTATGCAGCCACGTGGGGGTGAAAGGGTGGGGCTCGCGGGTGTCGCCCGAGGCTCCGCCTTTGGCTCCTTCCGGCCACCGTATGCGCGCAAGCGCAGAGGCGCTGCCTCGCCTCGCGTCCTCCCTCAGCTGAGGAGCTCCCTTCGGGGCAACAGGGACGACCGCGAGCACAGGTAAAGGGAAGGGAGCCACAGAGTACGCGTGGGTCTGGAGCCCTCGCTGCCTTTTCCGCGCTGCTTCTAGTTATCGTTTCCCCTCAACAGAGATAGTTTTCACCTCGGTAGAATCCGCCCTGAGAAGCGAGCAGCGCGCGTGCGCGAGAGAGCCAAGATGGCTGCTGTCAACGCCTGCGCATAAGGGCCTAGGCGGTGGCGGCCAGCGCTTGCGCACCAAGGCGAGGAGGCGGTTGCGCAGGCGCAACTCGACGCTGCGGAATCCGTTGGCTCATTTGCATCTCCCCGCCTCGCGAGGCGGCGGGTACGGAGCCTGAGGCGGCGGCGGGGGCGGCCCCGCTCGGGTGAGGCCCGGGCTCCGGCCACCAGGGAGGGCGGGTCCCGGGGTGGGGAGGACTCCGGGTGGCCCCGGGGTCGGCGCGTTCTTCCGTCCCTGCTCGCGGCCTATTCATTCCGCTGGAGCTCGCAGCCGGCCGGGCGAGCTGGGCGTCGCGGTGAATGGGCTTCGCGCTGGGTTTTGCTGTATAGTGCATGCTTTAAAATTGAAATCCTGTTGCTTAGCCCCCTAAATATCATTAGGTCCTATCATGGGGGTAGGGACAAAAATTGATACCTGGTTGTGACTTGGTTAGTCTGACTGACCACCAAACTCCAGGGGTCCTCCTTGCTCCTCTTCCGCAGCACTGGGATTGCAGGCACATGTCCTTGTGTCCCACTTTTATTCTTAATTCTTTGTATTTCTGGGTACATGGGTGGGAAGTGGAAGACGACAACAGATGCCAGACTGCACTCAAGTTCATCAGGCTTGGCCCTCACTAGGTCATCTCAGCCCCTCACACCCTTTCTTTTTTTAAGACTTTATTTTTGGGGCTGGGTAGTGGTACCACTAGACGCCAAAAGAGGTTGTCAGATCCCCTGGAACTGGAGTTGTATGTAGTTGTTTGCTGCCCAATGTGGGCACGGCTCTCATAACTACTGAGCCATGATTCCAGTCCCTTAGTCCTCATTGTCTCTGCCTCACTGGCCTGCGCACCACCATCCAATTCCTGTGCTGGAATGTATTGGGTCTGCTGTAAAGAACTCAGTTCTTGGGGTGTTGTTGAAAAAACCAAAAGAGCGTGTCCTCTGAGACTAGCTCAGAGTGGACAGTTGCTAGCGTATTGTCTCCTTGTGAGAATATCATTTACTCATCCAGCGAGCTCTCGGTGACTCCAAACTGAAGTCAGGGGGTTCATATTTTTCCCAAATACTTTTTTCTAGGTCGTTCTTCCAGTTCTGTTACTCTTTTCTTTCTTTTAGTTTTTCGAGACAGGGTTTCTCTGTAGCTTTGGAGCCTGTCCTGGAACTAGCTCTTGTAGACCAGACTGGCCTCAAACTCACAGAAATCCACCTGCCTCTGTCTCCCGAATGCTGGGATTAAAGGCATGTGCCACCACTGCCTGGCTTCTTTCTTTCTCTTTCTCTCTCTCTCTCTCTTTTTTTTTTTTTTTTTTTTTGGTAGTGGTTTTGTCTTGGGGCAAACTGTCTTGATTTGTGTGACTTCTCTTGCTGTAGGAGAGAGAAACATGGCAAGGCGGATGGCACAGGAATCACTGGACACAGTGTTACAGGAGAAATCTAAACGGTATGGGGATTCTGAGGCTGTCGGTGAAGCTCTCCAACTTAAAGCTCAAGGTGAGTTAAGCTGCGCAGGTGGGCCACGTTGGATTATAATGCTCTGGGTGCTAGCCGAGCTCCTCTAATCCTTGCTGAATTTGTCAGGTCACTTTTTTTTTTTTTTTTTTTTGGTTTTTCGAGACAGGGTTTCTCTGTAGCTTTGCTGCCTGTCCCGGAACTAGCTCTTGTAGACCAGGCTGGCCTCGCACTCCCAGAGATCTGCCTGCCTCTGCCTCCCGAGTGCTGGGATTAAAGGCGTGCGCCACCATCGCCCGGCTCATCAGGTCACATTTTCTTGTGGCCCATCTGCTGGCTAATTCAGTGTGCAGAAGGTAGAGAGTGTCAGCCAGACACCCATCCATGAAAGAAGAATTTGACCCAGGCTTTACACATGCTAAAGCACATAGTCTGCCACTGACTGCACCCTAGTCTCTATAGAAGGGTCCCTGTGAGTGTGTGTACACATGCAGTCACATGCAGAGCTCAGAGGACAGCTTGGAGAGGGGATTCTCTCCTTCCACCATGTGGGTTCCAGGGATGGAACTCAGTTGTCAGTCAAGTTTGTGGTGAGTGCCTTTACTCACTGAGCCATCTCAACAGCTGTCAGCCTCCAGCAAACTGGTTGGGATTGAAAGTTTAGTTCTTGCAGGCATGTCTAAACTGCATCTCATGGATTGTTACAGATGTAGTCTAGCATAAATCATAAACTGAAAACATTAAGATCTGTTGTTTTTAAAAAAAAATATTTTTTTAGCTTGATTAGTTCTCTAGAGTAAAACCAGGGCGTGGGAAATGTAGGATGCAACTACCATTCCTGCCCAAGGGGTTTCAGTTTGTTTCTTGCTGATGGAACCATGTCTACCCCCCAACACACACACACTTCCCTTAGCGCAGCAGCACTTTAACACCAGGTGCTGCCAATCTCACAGGGTGAGAGTCTGAGGGTGGCATTTCCCACTATGTTCCTATCTAGGTTGCCTTGGCACCCACCTTCCTCCAGTGTGTGTGTATATATGCATGGGGGTGGTGTGGTGGGTATGTGTGTGTTGTTTTCCAACACTTAGGGAAACCCAGGGCCAGAAATGTGCTAAAGAAGAGCTCTGCCACTGACCATCTCCTTCCTTCAGTAATGGCAGTGCCGCGTGTACATAGTAGGTACTTGGTTCATGTATTTGCCCAGGAGTGGGGATATTTGTGTTTTCTTCATTATTCTGCTTCTTAGTACCTGTCTCTTTTCTTGCCCTTTTTGGCAGCGGGGGGAGGCGGGGGTATTGTGTGCATGTGTTCACATTTTTATGTGTTCGTGTGGGGGTACACAAGCATGTGTATGGTGACCAAAGGTTGACATCTGGTGTCTTAATCACTTTCCACATTGTTTTGCTTTCTAAATATCTTGTTTTTAATCACATGTTTGTGGGTCCGTGTGGGTATGTACACCTAAAGGACACGTGAGTCACTCTGAGTGTCAGAGAGAGCATCAGCTTTCCTGAGCTGGAGTTGCAGACAGTTGTCAGCTGCATAATATGGGTTCTGGGAACTGAACTCAGGTCCTCTGCAAAAGCAGCCACTGAGCCATCTCTCCAGCCTTGCCTTGCTTTTTGAGACACTTGGAACTTACTGATATGGCTAGATTAGCTAGCCAGTGGGCCCCAGATCCAGCCTCCCCAGCCCAGCCTCAGTCTTTATAGATTAGTACTGCCGTGTTAATGTGGGTCCTGGGGCATGAACTTGTATTGATATGTTAATATGGGTCCCGGAACACAACTCAGTGTTTGCTTGTGCAACAAGTGCTTTGCTCCCATCTCCCTAGCTACTCCCCGCCACAGTCTCATTCTTTAACCCAGACTGGCATCAAACTCACTGTGTGGCCCAGGCTAACCTTGAGCTCTGAGTTCTCCCTCATCTCCCAAATGCTGGCCTTCTGGGTGTTTGTTACCAGACCTGGGTCCCTTTTTGTCAGATTTTTTTTTTTTTGTTATAGATTTTGTTTAAAAATCCAGCTGTGAGAAAGCTGCCAAGGCCTGCTACTGCTAAAGATGGCTTCTGTAGGCAGCTTCTTGCAGTATTTCTGTGTGCAAGAGGAACTACAACAATGTCTATGCAACCCTTCCATTCTGGATGACACTCCACTCTCTACCGTAGCCCCACTTAGTGTGACTTCTTCTACTCCTACCTGCTCTGTCTCTGGCTCAGCCCCAGAGACAGAGTTAATGGCCCCCCAGACCTTTCTGCCACTTGGGATCAGGGACTATGTTGTCTCTTGCTCAACTGTGGTGGGTGTGGCACAGGCTGCTGCCTCCCAGTGGAAGTGTGAGATGTGAAGTCCTCCAGAAGGCAGTGAAAGTGGCAGCCTCTGTTGGTGGAGACTGCTTGTTTGTTCCTGCCACTCAGACTTGAAATAACCACACAGAAACTATATTAATTGCAATACTGCCTAGCTGATAGCTTAAGCATATTTCTAGCTAGCTCTTTTTTAAAATAGGTCATCCTTTTATTAGACATGTTATCAAAATGCTTAGTCAAAAAGACCAAAGCCCATGCTGTCATCAGACTCCTTGGATTCGTCTTTGCTTTCACTTTTCTTCTACTCAGCTGGGACAGCAGCAGTGGAAAGGGCAGGACCACCTGCTGGTGCCGCTCCAGCTGCTGGAGCAGGCCCACCAGCCCCTAGTAACAGATAAGGCTCCCAATGTTGACACTGACCGGGGCCTTTGCAAACAAGCCAGGCCAGAAAGGTTCAACATTGACACCAGCTGCTTTAATGCGGGCATTGATCTTATCCTCCTTGACCATCACCTCTTCATTGTGGAGGATGAAGGTGGAGTAGATGCAGGCGAGCTCAGAGATGAAGGCCTTGTTACAGACTGGTGGCACGGTGCTAGTCACTGGATGAAGTGAGGGCCTCACCCCAACACAGCCTTAGCTTCTTCAGAAGGACCAAGCACCTTGGTGGCAGCAGAGGAAAAGCCTATCTAGCTCTTATATCCTAAACTAACCCATCCTCATTAATCTGTGCATTACCATGAGGTTGTAGCCTACTGGCAAAATTTTGGTGGGCTCCAGTGGAGGCGTCTGTCTCCTATAGCGGCTACATGCTTCTCCCTGATTTCCACCTACTTTCTCTATATATATCTCTTCCAGTCTGGCTATGTTCTGTTAAGCCATTGGCCGAAAGCAGCTTCTTTATTAACCAATAAAAGCAACACATATACAGAAGGACTTCCCACACCAAGCCTCTATAAAACTTCTGAGACAGAAGTGGAGACCCTGAAGTGGGCTGGGCGTGGCAAAAGATCCAGGCTGCATAGAAACCAAGCCCCTTCTCTAAGGGTAGGTGGTGTGATGGTGGAGGTGGTGGCTGATAATGAGTTTGGGAGTCTGTGTCTAATGATAATGTGTGCCTGTGGGGTCACCCACTGTTCTGCCTTGGCTGATGACCACAAGGGCAAGCACACACCTGGTGCTTACAGAACTGTCTTGTTAAGTGTGATCACCCCTCACTGCCCATAGGACATGGGCACTATATAGTGCAACCTTGGAAGATGCTTTCCCTTTGTATGTAATGGCATGGTGGTGTCTGCATTTTGTGTGTGTGTGTGTGTCCCCCCCCCCCATGCAGCTAAGCTCTGTGAGCATTGTGGCTGCAGTGCTCCATGCTGTTGTATAAGGGAGAATGCTGGAAAGGCACATAGGGAGTGCAGGTGCAAATTTTCCAGGTACTTTTACTCTTACTTGGTTGAATGCCTGGCTGCAGTTCTCAGTGGGTCAGTGTGGCCTGGCCAGTAGAGAGTTAGAGGTGGCACTACACATACTTTCTTTATTGTTCTGTGTGTGTGTGTGTGTGGTGCTGCCTGTGTGCATAGTGTGTACAGGTGTCTTCCCTAGGCACTCACTTTTCACTTTACTGAAGCTGGGTCTCCTGCTTGTTGAAATAAGAGCGGCGGCGGGGCTGCGTCCCCAACACCCCGGCCGCTTGGCTAGCTCATGCCCGAAATAACAACACACAAACTGTATTCATTTAACTGCTTGACCCATTTCTATCTAGCCTCTTCTAGGCTAATTCTCACATATTAATTTAGCCCATTTCTAATCATCTGTGTAAGCACCCCAAAGTGCGCTTACCCGGGAAGATTCTAGCCTCCGTCCATCCTGGGAGAGTGTAGCATGGCAAGCATGGCGTCTCTGCTCCAGAGCAGAGCTGTCGAGTCTCTCTGGGAGCAGAGCAGAGTCTGACCTCACTTCCTCTTCCGCCCAGCATCCTATTCTGTTTATTCCACCCACCTATGTGCTAAGCTATGAGGCCAAGCAGTGTGTTTATTACTTAACCAATGAAATCAACAGATTGATATATGACACTCCCACATCACCTGCTGAACTTGGAGTCACCAATTTCAGCCTCTGTAGCTGATCAGCTTGCCTTTGGGATCCCGTGTCTCCACCTCCTAAGCATGGATGGGGGTTATAGGCAAGCATGCCTGCTTGCTTTTCCTATGGGTTCTGGGGCTCTGGTCTCATGTCCTCATACTTGCATGTCAAGCACTTTATTCTCTGAGCCATCCTGATGCCTCTTTACCCATTTTAAACAGTGTTGCCAGCAGACTGAGTTTGCCCCTCACACTTGGGAGTATAAAGTACTTGTGTTGACTGGTGTGTGGGCTATTCCTGTGCAGCCCATGCTCTAAAGTGCCCTCTGTTTGTGACCATCTATTTCAGATCTCATAAGGACAGGCTCAAGAGCCAGAGCAGATGTCTATGAGGACGTTCACAGTGACAGTAGGTTCTCTGCCAGTGGATCTGGTGTGTACTCATTAGACTTGGGGAGAGAGGGCATGAGAGGTGACATGTTTGCGGGACCCTCCTTCAGATCCAGCAACCAGTCCGTCGGTGAGGACAGCTATCTTCGCAAAGAATGTGGTCGGGATCTGGAAGTGGCCCACACTGACTCCCGAGACCAGAGTTTTAGCCACCGGAAACTGGGACATTTTTCTTCTCAGGACTGGAAGCTTGCACTCCGTGGCTCTTGGGAGCAAGACTTGGGCCACCCAGTTTCTCAAGAATCCTCCTGGTCACAGGAGTATGGTTTTGGGTCTTCAGTGTTGGGGGACTTGGCCTCCTCCAGGCGGTTGGAGAAGGAGAGTCGGGATTATGACCTGAACCATCGTGGGGAGATAGACTCTGTGTCTAGAGGCAGTGGGCAAGTCCTGGCCAGAGGCCGGTCTCTAAACATGGCTGACCAGGAAGTCACTCTCCTAGGAAAGGGGGACACTCAAGGTCTGCTTGCAGCAAAGGGTATCGGGAAGCTTATCACGCTGAAAAGCATGACCACGAAGAAAATGCCTGTTGTCAGTCGTCTTGCTTCCAAACCTCAGGGCACTAACCAAATCCAGAAAGCCACCTCAAGTCCTGATGTGACCCTTGGAACAAATCCAGGGCTGGATGAAATCCAGTTCGCTGCTCTGAAGATCCCTTTGGGCCTGGACCTGAGGACCCTCAGCTTTCCCAGAAGGAAGCTGGGCTTTGATGCCATGGACAAGGCAGATGTGTTCTCAAGGTTTGGCATAGAGATCATCAAGTGGGCAGGGTTCCACACCATCAAGGATGACCTCAAGTTCTCCCAGCTCTTCCAGACTCTCTTTGAATTGGAAACTGAGACCTGTGCCAAGATGCTGGCCTCCTTCAAATGCTCCTTGAAACCAGAGCACAGAGATTTCTGCTTTTTTACTATCAAGTTTTTAAAGCACTCTGCTCTGAAGACACCCCGAGTCGATAATGAGTTTTTAAACATGCTTTTAGACAAAGGTGCTGTGAAGACCAAAAACTGCTTCTTCGAGATCATCAAGCCCTTCGACAAGTACATCATGCGGCTCCAGGACAGGCTACTGAAGGGCGTCACACCCTTGCTCATGGCCTGTAATGCCTATGAGCTGAGCATCAAGATGAAGACCCTCACTAGCCCACTGGACCTGGCTGTGGCCCTGGAGACCACCAACTCTCTGTGTAGGAAGTCCCTGGCACTCTTAGGCCAGACCTTCTCCTTGGCCTCCTCCTTCAGGCAGGAGAAGATCTTAGAAGCTGTGGGCCTCCAGGACATTGCTCCATCTCCTGCTTCCTTCCCAAACTTTGAGGACTCCACTTTGTTTGGAAGGGAATACATAGACCACCTGAAGGCCTGGCTCATCGCCAGCGGCTATCCTCTCCAGGTCAAGAAGGCTGTGCCTGCAGAGCCCCGAGAACAGAAAACCACATCTCAGCCCTGGGCTGCAAGCACTCTGAGCCAAGGTAAAGATTTTCTTTCTTTCTTTCTTTTTTTTAACATCATCATCACTGCCAAATTACAGTATTTATATTCATTGTGTGTGTGTGTATGTATGTGTGTGGGTGTATACGTGAGTACCAGGGCATGTGTGTACGAAGGCTAGAAGACAGCCTCAGTTGTTTCTCAGGAAGACTGTCCACCACCTTTGAGACAGGGTCTCACTGAACCTGAAGTTCACTAGTTAGGCTAGACAGGATGACCATCAAGGCCTGGGGATCCCCTCGCTCCACCTTCCTAGTTGTAGTGTGTGCATGCATCATCCATCATAGGTGGCATTTTATATCAGACCTGAGATCAAACACAGGTCCTCGTTGTTGCAAGGTAACAGATGTTGTCCATCTAGACCATCTCTTTGATATTTAAAAAATATAATTATATATATATGTATTTTAACATTTGTATGTATACATAGTTACACATATACATACGTACATATGCCTGAGTATGTACACTATATACATACAGGAACTGGTAGAGGTCAGATGAAGGTGCCCGGTTCCTTGGAGCTGGAGTTATATATAGCAGTTATGTGCTGCACAACATGGGTGCTGGGAACAGAACTTGTGTTCTTTTTTTTTTTTAATATTTATTTATTATGTATACAATATTCTGTCTGTATGCCTGAAGGCCAGAAGAGGGCGCCAGACCTCTTTACAGATGGTTGTGAGCCACCGTGTGGTTGCTGGGAATTGAACTCAGGACCTTTGGAAGAGCAGGCAATGCTCTTAACCACTGAGCCATCTCTCCAGCCCCAGAACTTGTGTTCTTTGCAAGAGCAGCATGTGTTCTTTATTGCTAAGCCATCACTCCAGCTCCTCTCTTTGAGGTTTTTATATACTTTTTTAAAAATGCTGAGACTTGAAGTCAAGGACCCAATATTTGCCCTTGGTTTTGAGGCAGAGTCTCCTGCGTAGCTCAGACTGACCTTGAACTTCTGATTTTTCTGCCTCCACTGTTGAGTGCCAAGATGACAGGTGTGTACCACCTCCCCTGCTTTCTGAGGTTCTGGATGGAGCCTAGGGCTTTGTTCATGCTAGATGAGTACAGTACCCGCTGAATCAGATGGAAAACTGGCTGGCCCTCACTAGGAACAATGCACTACCCCCTTTCACCATAGGATCAAGGCTAGGATGCCATGTTCTGAAGTACCATGTCACTGAAGGCAGGGAAAACAGGACATCAAGACTTAGTCATCCTGTGCCCAGGGTGTGGGAAAGGTGGTTAGAATACTGAGGGCTGTCAAGGACCAGCCAAGTCTTTCCAGCTGGTGCTGGTGCTGGTGCTGGTGCCTCTCACCTGATTCAGAGTCATCAAAAGCTCTGGTGTTGGCCAGAGGAAGAGATGGAAACTACTTGGTTTCCCTCTCCCTTCCTCCTTTGCTCCCAGCTGCATGCTGTCACACCCAATCTTCCTAGGCATCAGAAGACATGGCACCCATCTTTTCTCTCCTCTGACATTACCTCTAGCCCAGGGAATGTCAGCCCTGCCCTCCCCTTTATGGAGCCCTCATTGTACCAGGCAGTAGATGTCCCAACACAGATGAGTGGCCATGACCACTTCTAAGAAGAAATTTTTCCAGTGCAGTCTGAATGCATTTCTCTTCCCATTCCCTAATGCTAAAGGGGAAATGAAGGTAGCAAGAACCAGGTACTATGGGTAGAGGAGGAAGGGTCTAAGACCTTGGGATCCCCTCTCCAGGCAGGGACCCAGGTACTGCAACAACAGACACACTAACCTGAGGGTGTTTCTACCTGCCATGCTCTCTTTTTAGGTTGGTTTTGGTTTGTTGTTGTTTTGGGTTTTTCAAGACAGGATTTCTCTGTCTAGCCCTGACTGTCTTACAGTTCTCTTTGTAGACCAGGCTGGCCTGGAATGCAGAGATCCACCTGCCTCTGCCTCCCCTGATTAAAGGTGTGTGCCACCACTACCTGCATGATTTTTTTGGGTTTTTTTTTTTAGTCCTTTTATGTGGCCCCAAATGACCTGGAACTTGTTGTGTAACCAGGTGGTCTCAAATTCAGAGATCCACCTGCCTCTGTGCTGGATTTAAAGGTGTGCACAGGCTCCACCCAGAAAGATTTAAGTTTTTATTTGTACATGTCCATAAGTTTGAGTATATGAGAACAGAAGCCAGAAGCTGGTATCAGATCATTGAACTGGGGTTACAGGTATGTGAGGAGATCGGCTTGTTGCTTGGGTGCTGGGATCTGAACTCCAGTCCTCATGAGTACCAGCAAGCACTGCTAACTTCTGTAGCCCCTCATTTGTCTTTCTTTTTTTTTTTAAAAAAAAAAGATGGGGTCTTGGAGCCGGGTAGCGGTGGCACACGCCTTTAATCCCAGCACTCAGAAGACAAGAGGCAGGTGATCTGTGAGTTTGAGGCCAGCCTAGTCTACAAGAGACAGGCTCCAAAACCCTGCCTCGAAAAAAAAAAATGTGGTCTTGATATGTAGTCTAGGCTAACTAGCCTTAAGTTTTCAATTCCCTACGTCAGCTTCCCCATATGCTGGGAGGCATAGTGTCACTACTTATCTGAGTTTCTGTAGCTCTCACTACATCAAGTAACCCACCATGTGTAAATTACCCTGCTTTGTCAGCAGGGGCTTTCACTGCTTTGTAGTAAAGGTTTCTGAAGCAGAGCTGGACATGTGTCTTTGGCAGCCTCTGTACACTGAGTACACAGTTGTGTGACCAGCCATAGACCGCGGCCCGCTAGAATTGCCTGGCTGCTTTAGCTAGTGTACCCCATTCCTACAACAAACACGCAATGCTCTTTGACCTTGGCATGGTGGGACAGGCCTGTCACCCTAGCCTGGGAGCCAAGAGAGACAGGATGGCTACAAGCTTGAGGCTAGCCTGGGTACTGCATGGCAAGAGCTTGACTCAAAAAACAAGAGGGGATACTGGAGAGATGGCTCAGCAGTTAAGAGCACTGGCTGCTCACATGGCTGCTCACAACTGTAACTCCATGGGTATCAGATATACAAGTAGTCCCCAGACACACACGTAGACGTAAAATAAACCTAAATTCAGTCCCTATGACCCACATGGTAGAGGAGAAGACAGACACCCTCAAGCTTTCTTCTAACTGCCACCAGCTCCATGATAGGCATGCTTGCTTTCACAGATCAGTAAATTTTTTTATTTGATTGGGTTGGGATTTTTGTTTGCTTGGTTTTTGTTTTTGTTTTAGAGCCACAGTTTCCTTGTGTAGCTCTGGCTCTCCTAGAACTTGCTTTATAGACCAGTCTGGCCTCTAACTCACTGAGATTCACCTGCCTTTGCTTTCCCAGTGTTGGGATTAAAAGTGTGTGCCACCACTGCCCAGCCCTTGTTTTTTTTTTTTTTTTTTTAATCCTCTGCAGCTTCTGTTTTATCATAGGCAGGGACAACATTTTATCCTACATTTACCTATGTTAATTTTTCCACTCTATCATAATCTCTTACTATATTTATTAAAAAACCCTCGATAATCAAAATTCTATTTAAACTAACACTATTATTGTATAAAATCATTGCTTCAGTTAAACAGTACCGCTTTAGAGGAAATCATCTTTATAATAATCTACAGGTAAAAATGCCCAGTAGAACGTATATTTCCAGGAGATGACCATATTTCATTAAAGGCACTGGAGCGCTCCCTATGCCCATTCACACTATGCCCAGACACCAGAGAAAAATAGTGGCGGCAAACATGCAAAGACATAACAGCAGCAAGAAACATTCTGGGGCCAAAGCTCTCGGGAACGTTGTCTATCCGAGATTTACCCATCAGGGTTTTGTTTCCTGGTGGGCCAATCCTCTGAAGTCAATTCCCATCTGCTACTCCTCTGACATGGCCACCAGCACCAGCCTATCTCCAGGTTCAATGAATGAAATGGTCTCAAGGAGTAAAGGTGAAGAGTGACAGGATAAGACACCCAGCATCCTTTGGCCTCCCCATTTAGGCACATATGAACACGTACCAGATATATTTACATGCACATAGATAGTGCTGCACACGACAAACCCAGCTTATCTGTGGGTATTGGGATTGTCATAGTTGTACAGTAAGCGCTCTCAACTACTGAGCCATCTTTTCAGCCCCATCGATGGTGTTTGGCTTTGGGTGTTTTGTGTGTGTGTTTACATATGTATGAGTGTATTATATGAGTATGTGGTATATAAGGGAATGTACAGGCCAGAGGAGGACATTAGCTGTCCTGTCTATCACTCTCCATCTTATTCCCTTGAGACAGCGTCTTTCACAGAACCTGGAATTAGGCTGCTGGCCAGCAAGCTCCAGCCATCCTCCAGTTGCCACCTCCTGTAGCACTGGAGTTAGACACTCATTGTTACACGTAGCTCTTTATTTGGGTGTTGGGGATCTGAACTTGGGTCCTCATGCGTACACAGCTATTGAGCCATCTCTGTGACCCCAGGGTTTGTTGTTGTTTGTTTTGAAACAGTCTAACTATGTTGTCCAGGCTGTTTGGAAATACTTGGGGTCAGACAGTCCTCCTGCTTGACCTCCTGAGAAGCTGTGGCCACAGGGACACAATGGCACCTCTGTCTCTTGCTACGTCTCATTTGCACCTGTTTTCTGGGTTAATACTCAAGCCGTCAGGCTTAAAGCAGCCTGTATAAGCGGGTCATTGCTTACCCAGCTCCTTCCTGAGCTTCCACCTCACTCCGTGTACAACCAAGGGACTCACTACTCATGGCTGGAGCAGGACATCTTTCAGCAGGACTTTTTGGTTTGTCGAGGCAGGGTTTCTCTGTAGCTTTGGGGCCTGTCCTGGAACTAGCTCTTATAGACCAGGCTGGGCCGTGAACTCACAGAGATCCTCCTGCCTCTGCCTCCTGAGTGCTGGGATTAAAGGTGTGCACCATCACCACCCAACTCAGAAGGACATTTTCTATTTCACCCAGGTTTCCATCTTTTCAACACCAGTGTCCCGTGATTGAAGGTTCCAGTTGCTGATGGCTTGGGTTTTATGCTGCCCTCTCGTTCACTGTCCTGGTCTCCAGGCCTGAGTGGTCCACCAGTTTTTACAACATCCATTCTGTGTATTGCAGCTGTCCCCCAGCGGGCGGATCACAGGGTGGTGGACACCATTGACCAGCTTGTCATGCGTGTCATCCAAGGCAGGCTGTCACCCAGGGAGAGAACACTACTTCTGCAGGACCCTGCTTACTGGTAGGCATGCTTATTTTGTCTTTTTTTTTTTTTTAATGACATGTTCTTATTTAAAGAAAATATATGTTTTGCCTACCTGTATATCTGTATACCATGTTCATGCCGTGTCTAAAGAGGCCAGAGAGGGGTGTCAGATACTCAGGAACTGGAGTTAGGAAGTTTGAACTGCCATTTTGAACTGGGTGCTGTTAATTGAAACTGGGTCCTCTAGAAACACCAAGTACAGCTGAGATATCTCTCCAGCCTCTATTTTATTTTTTGTTTGGTTTGGTTTTGATTTGGTTTGTTTGTTTGTTTTCTGAGACAGGGTTTCTCTGTAGCTTTGGAGCCTGTCCTGAAACTAGCTCTTATAGACCAGGCTGGCCTCGAACTCACAGAGATCCGCCTGCCTCTGCCTCCTGAGTGCTGGGATTAAAGGCGTGAACCAACACCACCCAGCCTTTTTACTTATTTTTTAATTGTAGCAGTTGGGGTCTTACATTGTGGCCCAACCTCTGCTCAGACTTCTGGGCTGAGGGGTTCCTTCTGCCCCAGCCCTGGTTGCTCAGTGGTATTTTGAACATTCTGTGACTCCACACTGGCTGTATGTGAGCTGCTCTGTGACCATTCTTGCTTTACATTGTGCATATAATCTGTTTACATATAGAAGCATTGTGCTTACATGATACGCAGCTGAAGTGAGCTGGAGCAGAAATCAAATGTGGGGCTTCAGCTTCAGCCAGTGTTAAGCAGGGGAGGAGGCCACATGGCCTTAGATTCGTGAGGAAAGCTGAGACCGCTTGGTAAGAAGGCACCCAGGTATAGGGACCTAGGGGTGACTTTACTGGAGGGATGTGGTCTTAAGAGGACTGCCTCTGCCACATGGACACTGGGCATCGCCTAGCAGCTGATGATCACCACCAGAAGATTGGAAATAGGCATTGATTGAGAAAGCTAAGATTTGAGGGGAACCACTGTGAAGGAGAGGTACCCATCTTGACGGACAGAGTAACGAGAGAGGAGATTTAGTGTAGGATATGCGTGCATAGTGGGTACTCTCAAGTGGAGACAGCACCAGAACCATGAGACAGGAACTGCTATTAATGGCCCAGAACCTAGTTAGGGTACAGTTCACTTAGTGACCTCTCTGGGCCTACATGCAGGGACATACCTGATACATGCTTAGCCTCTGGCTTCTCCTAGCTGTGGAGGGAGATTCCACAATCCCTTTCTTGTATTCTTGACTCTAAAACCAGAACCATGTGGCTGAAACTGCCAAGTTTTTGTGCTTGCTGGAACTGAAATATGGCTCCTTGGTTCAAATACATTTTCATCAGCTTTCTTTTTTCAGTGGTGTCCTCCCCTGCTTAAACCTTTATTTAATTCTTTTTCATAAGTTGATTTCCTCACAGCCTAAATGTAGCTGTCCTAGAACTTACTCTGTAAACTAGACTGGCTTCAAACTCAGAGATCTCCTGGCCTCTGCCTCCCCAGTGCTGGAATTAAAGGTGAGCAATATTACAACTGACCCTAACTTTTCTTTAATTTTGTTTTACAAGTTGGAAGCTTAGTTGAGTGGGGTCTGACCCTTAGTTCATCATTCCCTTTAAACTTTTTCTGTTTTGTTTTGGTATTTTGAGACAGGGTTCTTCTGTAGTTCTTGGGACCTGTGGATCTGTCCTAGAACTAGCTCTGTAGACCAGGCTGGCCTCGAACTCACAGAGATCCACCTGCCACTGCCTCCTGAGTGCTGGGATTAAAAACATGTGTCACTACCGCCCGGTCTTTTAAACTTTTATCTCCTTGAATGCAGGACTTAGCGCCATTGTACTTCTTGGTGCTCCTTTTCCTCAAACTGTCGAGTTTGCATGTTCCATTACAGAGCTGCATGAGAGTGAGCACCAATAACCACAGGACGCAGTCATAGCCTCTGCCAAAGCCATTAATCCAAAACTCCTCAATTCAGCCTCTGGTAGATTTTTTGACAAGAGCAGAAGGCAGCCACATTTTTCACCAAAATATCACAGGCGCAATCTCTGGGCCACTTAATAATAATCTTCCCCTCTGAAACTTCTTGAGCCAGACCATCCTACATCTGTCTTCAATGCTTCTACTAGTCTGTCTCATTAAGTCCTGCTTAAAACATTCAATTGCTTTCCTAATCTAAGGTCCCAAAGTCCCTTTCCTACCAATAAGCAGCATAATCAGACCATCATATCAATACCCTACTCCTGCTGCCAGCTTCTGTCTTAGTCAGTGTTTTATTGCTGTGAAGAGACACCATGACCATCCCAACACTTTTTTCATTGTGGTTGTTTTGGTTTTTTGTTTTTCGAGACAAGGTTTCTTCTTTGTACCTTTGGAACCTGTCCTGGAACTTGCTCTGTAGACCAGGCTGTCCTCAAACTCAAAGAGATCCACCTGTCTCTGCCTCCCGAATGTTCAGATTAAAGAGATGCGCCACCACTGCCTGGCTGACCACACTAACTCTTATAAAAGAAAACACTTAATTGGGGCTGGCTTAAAGCTTCAGGGATTTAGTCTAGTCCATTGTCATGATGGCAGGAAGCATGGCAGTGTGTGGGCAGACATGATGCTGGAGAAGGAGCTGAGAGTTATCCACAGGCAACAGGCAGAAATTGCCACGGAATCTGCCTCGAGATTTTGGTTTTATTTTGTTTTTTGTTTTTTAATTATTTATTTATTATATATACAATATTCTGTCTGTGTGTATGCCTGATGGCCAGAAGAGGGCCCCAGACCCCATTACAGATGATCGTGAGCCACCGTGTGGTTGCTGGGAATTGAACTCAGGACCTTTGGAAGAGCAGGCAATGCTCTTAACCTCTGAGCCATCTCTCCAGCCCCTGCCTTGAGATTTTGAAACCTCAAAGCCCACTCGTAGTGACATACCTCCAAATCCACATCTCCTAATCCTTCTCAAGCAGTGCCACTCCCTGCTGATAAAACATTCAACTATGTGAATCTTTGGGAGCCATTATTTAAGCCACCACACAGTACTTAATGACAGTTACCACATTTTCTTCTTTCTGTAGAGTAACACTGGGATGGGACCCATAGTGGCCTCACACGCTGGGCAAATGATCTACCCCTGAGTCACAATCAAGCTTGGTGTTTTGTTCTCGTTTTTGTTTTTGTTGATGGACTCTCACTCTCCCCAAGTCTGGCTCAGACTTAGAAAGTAGCCAGGGCTGACCTTGAACTCTGGCTGTCCTCCTGCTTTAGTGCTGGGGTGGCAGGTGAGAAGCACACACAGTGTCTAGCCTATGCTTCTCTCTGTTGCTGCCTCTCACATGACTTCTAACTTGTAATGGCAGTAGGGCTTTGCCAATGGTTCCCTCAGCATTTGGGAAACTCCTAATCGCTGTTCTAGGGCTCTTCAGTTGTCATCTCCAGTATCAGCAGAGGGTTGGTCCAGACCTCTGGATACTAAAATCTGGCTGTTCAGCGCTCTATACAGAATAGTGTACTGCCTGCATGAAACACATCTCCAGCACATGGTTTTACTTTGATTTTTGAGAGTCTGTGTAGTCTGGGCTTATCTGGAACTTGAGATCCTTCTACCTCAGCCACCTCATCCACCCTCCTGGGTGCTTTACGTAGTCTTCAGCTTACTGGAAACACCGGAGACAGTGTGACTGTGTCCATAGCTGTTGGACTACATTGATAAGGGGCAAAAGTGACGGGAGTTCCTTCTCTTTCTATGTTACAGCCAAGCTTACCCAAGCAGCATACCTTCTCGGTGTCGAGGAACCTGTGATAGTTGTTTGTGCGTGTGTTTATTATTGTGCTTTGTTTTTGTTTTATGAACTGTTGAATGCCTGTCAGGTGTTCCGTGCTGTATGGGACAATCAAAGAAAAAGGGTCACTCCAGAAAGTAGTTAAGGCTCTGTGGCAGCAGGGAGGGACAGTTTTGAAGAGCTGAACCTCAAACACTGTGCAGAAGCACACTTATGATGGTTACACAAAGGTGGTTTTATGGGCAGAAGTTCCTCATACCAAAGCCCACTGATCTAATACCTTTTCTGAAGGAAAGCATCATACCCCTGCAGCTTCAGTCCTTACTGTGCGCTGTTTCCAAGGTTCTCCAGGTGTGCCAGGATAGTCTTGTGACCAAAGTCATGCAAAGGCTATAAAACTCCTTCAGAAAAACTTTATAGATAACAGAAAACAACTACCATCTTCTATAATGTTTTCTTCAAGATCTAGGTACTTCTAGAAATAAACTATTTCATTCTAATGTTTACCCTAGATACCATGATTTTACTAGAGTTCCACTACAAATGCCAGATCAAACTGGAGGACACAGGCTCCCGTTCCTTCTGTTGTTTCACATCCAGCAGAGATTTGACACCCTGTACGTGAGGGAGGCAGTAAGGTGACCACCGCAGCCTGGTGTGTTCAGCTGTCCCTAGGGCATCAGACTCTCCTCAGTCTTGCCACGCCTGCCTCACTGGCACACAGAAAACTCTGGAAGCACTTGACCACCTAGCCATGTGAAGGGTGCTCCTCTGCCTGCCTTGCAGCTCCTGCTCTGAGCTGACCAAAGTCAAGAAAGAACCAACCAATTCTCACTTACACACCTTTAATCCCAGTACTCTGGAGGCAGAGGATGGTGGATCTATGTGACTTTGAGGCCTGCCTGGGCTACAAACAAATAAAAAGATAATGGCTTCTTTTGTAGTCCAGACTGGCCTTAAATTCTCTGCAGTCTTCCTGCTTCAGCCTCCCCAGTGTTAGGATTAAGAATAAAACAGGTGGATCAAAGCTTTTGACTTTCTTGAGGCACCTGGACAACAGAGGGCTGCAGGTGCCACACTTAGGAGGGCAGCTATGCCTTGCTGAGCACGGTACTGCTCTCACGGTACCCTGCTTGTGTCTGTTTGGCAGGTTTCTGTCTGATGAGAACAGCCTGGAATATAAGTACTACAAATTGAAGTTGGCAGAGTCACAACGACTGAACCACAGCTGGCCCATCATGGAACGGAGGCCAACACCAGCACAGTGCGCAGTGCGTGCTATGCTGTATGCACAAGCTGTGCGAAGTCTCAAGCGTAGACTTCTCCCGTGGCAGCGCAGGCGGCTGCTTCGCTCTCAGGGTCCTCGAGGCCTGAAGGCCAAGAAAGCTGCCACTGCCCAGCACACATCCCTGTCCTCAGGCACTCAGCAGAGGCACCGTGGCCGCCAGACTGCAGGAGGCTCCTTACAGGTAAAGCCACCACCACGGGACTCGAGTGATGCTGCCCAGGACTGCCTACCAGAGCCTGCCAAACCCCATCCTCAGCCCTCCTGCCCTGGAGCCTTGGGCCCGTCTCCTCGGCCAACAGCAGGGGATGACTCGGGAGCCCTGCCGTCCTCTTCTCCCTGCCCCTCTGCTGAAGGTAGGTGCTCACCTTACCCCTCCTGTCACCATGCTCATCTGGTTTCCTTGGCATGGTGGGTGGGGGTGCCAGGTGGCAGGCTGGAGTAGCCAAAAGAACTTGAACAGTATGGGCACTTGGCCATGCTGTCCTTAATGTTACTCCTGAGCCCCAACTCCTTGATCCAGATGACAAAGTGCTGTCCAGGTACTTGCTGGGTCTCTTGCACCACAATTACCCTCACATGTGCCAGAGTTCACTTCGGCAAAAGTTTTGTGGAAAAGGACAGAGTTTTCAGAGAACCAGCACACACGCTCTTGATGTTTTGCTTATTTTTTGGATGTGTTTGTGAGCGTTTTGAGACAGGATCTCTCCATATAGGTCTGGACCTCACTATGTAGACCACACTGACGTCAAACTCAAAGAGCTCTCCCTGCCTCTGCTTTTAAGTGCTGAGATTAAAGGCATATGCCACAATGGCCTGCAAGAGCTTACTTTGTTTGAGATAGGGTCTCACTCTCTAGCCCTGATTGGCCTGGCACACACTATATATTTGGGACTGGACTGGAACTTACAGCCACTGACCTGCTGCATCCTTGTCCCTCTGTCTGGTCTCTACTACATTTTCATCTTGTCTAGGCTGCTTACAACAACTAGCCCAACACTCACACTACATGAAACTGGCTGTTGTGGGGTACACCTGTCATCCCAGCAGGTATGACCTGGGCTTCAAGGTCAGCCGCACCTATGTGAGACCTTGTCTCTTATAATAATCATGATAATGATAACAATAATAATCTGCAGAAATACTTATATATTTTTTAGGAGGGATTAAGAATATGAGGAACAGGGGCTGGAGAGATGGCTCAGAGGTTAAGAGCACTTCCTGCTCTTCCAGAGGTCCTGAGTTCAATTCCCAGCAACCACATGGTGGTTCACAGCCATCTGTAATGGGGTCTGGTGTACTCTTCTGGTCTGGTGGCATACATGCAGATAGAACACTGTATACATAATAAATAAATAAATCTTTTAAAAAAAGAATGTGAGGAACGGATAGAGGCAGTTGCTAAGTGACTTCATTGGTTTGTGTTCAGCAATGCTGGCCATTGAGTGCAGGGCCACAGGCCTACTAGGCAAACACCCCCAAGCTGTACCCCGAGACCATTGCAGATATTTTCAAGCTGGTCTGGTCAAATCTACAAGTGCAGGGCCCATGCAGCCCAAGCCCCCCATGGTGTTTCCTTGGATGCCTTCTGTGTCACTCTGCCCCTGCCCAAGTTTGAGGTTAATGATGGCCCATGTGGTCACCAGCAGCTTACCTGTCCTCTGCCCAGTGCTAATAGCTTTCAGTGGAACACGTGCAGACGGCATAGTGCCCAAGCCGTGTTTCTCTGCTCCTGGCTGCTCCAGCAGTGTCCTGAGCTGCTGGCAGGACGTCAGCTGACCTGAGCTTTGAGAGTTTGAACAACAGTTTGGCAGCCTGTTGGCTAATGTAATGAGGATGACAGCCAGCCCAAGTGTCCATGGGACTGCTGGTGCTTCTGCCACAGTCTGCCTGTTGACTAATTGGAACAAGGAGAGGACCACAGAGTCATGTGGTGCAGGGAAGGATCAAGGGGAGGTGGCTTGACTCAATCTAAGAGCCACAACCACTGCTTTGTTTTGTAGTGGATCCAAAGACCATGGAGACTGCTGAGAAGTTGGCCAGATTTGTGGCTCAGGTGGGCCCTGAGATTGAGCAGTTCAGCATAGAGAACAGCACCGACAACCCTGACCTGTGGTATGTGCCTTGTACCTACACAATCCTCCCCCGCCCCCGCCCCCAGCCACACACTGAGCCGACAGGATGGACTAACGCCTTCAGCTGAGCCTGGCCCAGCACTGGCATCCTGTGGGTCAGCCTTCACCTAGAACACCAGGAGACCCGTTGCCCTCTTGTCCCTCAGTCCTCACACAAAGACTGGGTACACCAGCAGCATTTGTGCATGTGCCTCACCACAGGTCGTCAGAGAAAACTCCAGAAACCAGCCCTGAAGAGCCCCAGCTGCTGAGGGAACGCTAACCTAGTGGTGGAAGGCCTCTATGACGGGGGTTCTCCAGGTTCCAGAGACCCTGTGAGATCTCCCAACCTCAACTGTACCCATGTGTTCCCAGGACCAAGCCTGGCACTTGGCTTTCCTCCTGCTTGTTGGAGAGCTATGTCATGGTCTGACTGAAAATGCAGTTGAATGTTTACTGGGTGCAGGAGGCCTGAGTCTGTTGATGGTGTTGCACTGGGGTGTAGTTGGAAACATGCAGGTTTGGGCCAGAGTTGGAGCTCAGACTTCTTGCCTGGCATGCACAGAGCCCTGGTGTATGTTCTCAACACTGGGTAAGCTACATGAAGTCGCACAGTAGTCTTGCTAGCTCTTTGTAAGATGGAGGCGGAAGTTCAAGGTCATTCTTGATTCATAGGGAATTTGAGGTCCTGCTTCAAAAAGCACAGAACAGAAGGATGGACAGAAGGTAGACGGGCTGGCTTATATATCTTAAAGAACTTACAAGTCTTGTGCAAAGAAAGCATGCTGCTCTGGCTGCCTGGGCCTGGTGTGTACATGCTGTGTCCTGCACTCCTCTTTGCTTAGACTGACTCCTCCCTGGAGACCTGGGGTGCCATGCTGCTGGCCTGTGCTGACTGATGCTTTGTATCAGCCCTTCACTTGGGCCTTTTTTTCTAATTCAGTGTAGATGACAGTTTGAAAAGAACGTTCGCTGTTCTGGCACTCTGGCTCCTGCACAGCAAACACTCCTATCCACTGAGCCCCATACCCAGACCCCAGTGGGATCTGTTTGTTTTTACGTTGTTTATTTACTCTGTGGCGGATGAGTGCATGCCACGGTTGAAGTGTAGAGTTCAAAGGACAGCTTGCAGGAGTTGTTCTCTTCTTTCACCATGTGTGTCCAGGGATCAAATTCAGGTTGTCAAGGCTTGGAGGCAGGGAGTGCCTTATCCCCTGAGCCATGTTGCTGGTCCCCATATTTGAATTTGTGGGGAAATGGTAAGGGGAGAAGTTTGAGTTTTGCTTTTGAGACAGGGTCTTTACTGTACAGCCTTGGCTGGCTGGAACTCACTGTTAGATCAGCTGACCTCAGAATCACAGAGATCCACCTGCCTCTGCATCCTGAGTGCTGGGATTAAATGTATACAGCATTATGCCCAGCTGAAAGTTTGGTTTGGTTGGGGGTTTTTTGAGATGGGGTTTCTCTATGTAGCTTTGTAGACCAAGTTGGCCTCAAACTCATCCACCTGCCTCTTCCTCCTGAGTGCTGGGATTAAAGGTGTGTGCCACTACGCCTGGCCCAGTTGGAATTTTTAATCCATTTTGTTCTAAAATAAAAAAGTCTGATTTTCCCACTTAATGCTTCTCAGCAACCAGAAGCCATCTTGTGTGTGCATCTGTCATTGCCCCCTTTGCATAGCCCAGTGCCAAATGCTGGCTCAGCTGCTCTTGCACAGCACTGCAAAAAATGTCTCCAGGCCTCTTAAGTTGGGAGCGTAGCCCCCAGCCCCCAGGCCTGAGAGTTGTATTTGTCTGGACTCCAAATCCCAGCATGCCAGGTCCTGAACCCTCCTGGGAGCGGGGGAGATCAGGACCCCTCCCACAGGGTATTTAAGCTAGCTCCCAAAGGAGAATCGGGTTGTCTCTGTTCCTTCCTCCTGGTGGTCAGCAATCCCATTAAACCTGGATATTTTTTTATTTTGCTTGTTGTGATTTGGCATGATTGGGATTTTTACGTCGGCAGAAAGCTTGTTTTAGGAAAAATTCCTAACAAGGCCTCTCTCCTTTTCCCACCTGTGTGTGTGTCCTCCTGACTGACTTTGAGTCCCTCACCAGCCCACAGTGTCAGTCATGATACTCTTTTAACAAGGCTGTCCAATAACCGTGTGTCTGTGTTCATGAGGGGAACCTCCCTCGAGACCTGTGCTAGGTCCTGCCCCTCCCCTGTGTCAGAAAACTGCACAAATAACATACAGGAGGGTGGTTGATTTGGGGTCATGGCTTCTGAGGTACCAGTTTGTGATCAATCTGGCTTCACTTCTCCCAGTTAGTGGCCAGGCCAAGAGGCACAGCAGGCTTCTGGAGGCCAGGGAGCAGAAGAGCCTATGATGTGCTACCAGCAGCCTTCCTCCTCCTTTTGTTCCATCTGAGTCCCCCGTGGCTGGTGGTGCACACGCTCTGCAGCAGGCTTTTCCCACCTGCTGCCCCACAGCCATTCAGCTCTGCCCCCCCCCCACAAGCTGACAGTCGCCCTGTGCCTTCCCACTGCTTCTGCCTGCCAGCTCTCACATCCACTGTCACTGTCACTGCCAATCACTTTGTACTTGTTAGAGTGTGTATGTCCATGGGGGTTGTATATTTTTCTGTATGGACAAACAAGCCGGAGGTTGACGCTGGGATGTCCTTTCCCAATTGCCTTTCCACCTTGGCTTTTTGATTTTTAAGATTTATCTCTTTTTAAGAGTGTGTGTGACCACGCGTGTGCATGTGCACAGTTATGTAGGTCAGAGGGGACAGTCTGAGCAGACTATTTGCCCTGGGAACCAAATTCAATTCTCAGGCACTTGTGTAGCAAGTGTTTTTACTGGCTGAGCTGCCTCGCAAATTTTTTTTTTAAGATTTATTTATTATGTATACAACTTTCTGCCTCCGCACGCCAGAGGAGAGCGCCAGATCTCTTTACAGGTGGTTTGGAGCCACCATGTGGTTGCTGGGAATTGAACTCAGGACCTCTGGAAGAGCAGACAACCACTGAGCCATCTTTCCAGCCCGCAAATTTTTTTTTTTTTTGAGGTTCTTGGGATGGAATGGGGGTGGAGGCTCATGAATGTTGCATGAGCATCCTGTTTTGATGAACTTCAGGAAAGATTATTAGATTCATCTAGTCCTAATCCTCAACGGTCTGTCTCCCATTAGGCGGGCTGTGAAGCCAAAGCATGGCCATGCAGAGATCATGTCCTGCTGCTGCCTCTGTGCTCTGCAACAATGCGTTTCATCCTCAGGTTCCTGCACGACCAGAGCAGCTCAGCCTTCAAGTTCTACCGGGAGAAGGTGCTGGAACTGTGCCCATCCATTTCCTTCCAGTCTACTGGTGAGGTGGGGAACTCAGTGCAGAGCCCCACAACTCGAAAGGAGGGTGAGGGTGAACCGGAAGAGGAGCGTTCCCAGCAGGAGGCTACATTGGAGGGCCCTGAGGTGCTGCCTGAGGAGGAAGAAGATGACGAGGAGGACGAGGAGGATGAGGGCAAAGAGGAGGCCTGTACCCTCAGACCACAGGCAAGAACTGCCAAGTGTCCAGGCTCCGAGGGCAGCTCCCCCACTGACAGCATTCCTGGAGAGGGGTCTAGGGAAGACCACACCGGCACCCCTGGCCTCTCACAGGCCTCCTCTGGCAGCTGCTTTCCCAGGAAGAGAATCAGCAGCAAGTCACTGAAAGTGGGCATGATTCCTGCCCCCAAGAGGGTGTGTCTCATCCAGGAGTCAAAGGGTGAGTGTCCCCAGAGTCCTGTGAGGAAGGAGGTAGCACTCCCAGGGACCATTCCAGATGTGCCAGTGGCAGCCAGTCACCCTGCTTCCTCCTAACGCCTGCTGGCCTGTGTGTAAAGATGGTTCCTAAGTGCCTGGCATAGTGCACGGGGTTTTTTGATCTCAGGGCTTAGAATTTGAGTGTCTTTTTTGATTTTGTGGTTGTTTACTTTGAGACAGAACATATGTATGTGGCCTGTGCTGGCCACCCAGCTCCCACAAGGTTAGACTGCAGGTGTGCTACCACAACCAAGTTCTCCTTGTTGTGTAATGTTAGCAGGGGAGCCCAGCTAGGCCATGGCTGCAGGGCCCTGAACCTATGCTTTGATTTGAAAGTATTTTTAAGCCGGGCGGTGGTGGCGCACGCCTTTAATCCCAGCACTCAGGAGGCAGAGGCAGGCGGATCTCTGTGAGTTCGAGACCAGCCTAGTCTACAAGAGCTAGTTCTAGGATAGGCTCCAAAAGCTACGGAGAAACCCTGTCTCAGAAAAAAAAAAAAAAAAAAGTATTTTTAACCATTGTGTATTGCCCTCCCAGGTGTTAGCTCAAGACCCACATGTCCAGTAAGGAGAGCTTCCAAAGGGCCCCTTCTCTTCTGCTGGGCTCTGGCACCACTGGGCTCTGCTAGACGCTCATCCCACCCCTTCCCACCTTGAGACACACCTAGCTTCTGAGTCCCCAAAGGTTCCCATACCTGTAGTGAAGGTGGGAGGACTGCAGCCATTGGACCTTACTGTCCTTGGATACACTTTATGTGTCCCTAGCACTGTTAGTGGATGGCCATTAGCCCAACTGTGACCCTTGTGTCCTGTATCTTGGTGCATGGGGGAGCTGAACCATGCTTCTTGCCAGGAAGTATGTCTGTCTTACCTCAGATGCCTTAGTGCCTTGGGCATTAGTTAGCAGCTCTGCATTGTCTTCAGTGACTTCCATGATAAGCATTTGGTACTCTCCTGAGTTGGAGTTCTCAACTGATAGGATTCCTGAAACTGCCCCTCTGGTGTCCTCTTGATGGAACTAGAAGGATGCAGTACTGATGTGACTTGCCTGCTGCAAAAGAGTTCCTGTGGCCGTGTGAAATAGCCCAAGCAGTAGATCCTGTGCAGGCCAGCACTCTTATATCACAGCCATATGCAGCCCAGCTCAGCAGACATAGAATGTTGGAGAGCTGGAGGTGGGAAGGGAGCCAGCAGCTGACTGATGTGGGCTGTGTCTTCATCAGACAGCATTTCTTTTTGTCTCTAAGGACATGGGCCAATGTTCACTGTGGACAGCTCTCTCCTTTTGTCTTCCAGTCCATGAACCAGTTCGAATTGCCTACGACAGGCCTCGAGGTCGTCCCATAGCCAAAAAGAAGGTGTGTGTAACTGCATAGTGACACTCCCTAGCCCCTGCAGGAGCAAGATCGGATTGGTACACTTGGTGCCGCTTGTGATGAACCTTTAGACACTTTACAGAGCTGGGTGTGGAGCATGCCCTTGTGTCCCAGGTGTTCAGGCAGCTTGAGGCAGGATGGTTACTTATGTACAGGAGTTCCAGGCTGGCCCAGGCATCACAGCAAGCCCCATCCCCAAGACAGCAGCCAGGCATGGACATGCCTGTGTCTCTGCCTCCAGGAGGCTGGGCTGGAGACGCCCAATTCAGCCCTACAATATAAACTGTGCAGTACACAGGAAAGCAGTGATTAGTCCACTCAATGGGAGGCCACTCGTCCTCACAGGTCTCTTGCTCAATCTTTCCTGCTGAGCCTTTGGCCTGGTCCTTGCCCTCCTCACAGGGTTTCCCTCACAGGCTCAGCACAGGGCAGCAGCATGCCGCACCACTGCCAGGTGCCAGTTCTGACCCTGGGGTAAGGGATCTGGCTTCAAGAAGTCCCACCCCCAGGGATGTTACAGGGAAGTTGGAGGTGAGTGGGGCTCACCATCCCAGCCATCTGGGGTTAGGAGACCATTTGCGGATCCAGTGCGTGCTGGAGCAGACTGGTCCACCCACCCCTGCTTCTTTCTCTTCAGAAGCCCAAGGACCTGGAGTTTGCCCAGCAGAAGCTGACAGACAAGAACCTGGGCTTCCAGATGCTGCAGAAGATGGGCTGGAAGGAGGGCCATGGCCTGGGCTCCCTTGGGAAGGGCATCCGTGAGCCCGTCAGCGTGTATGGCATGGCTGGTGGGGGGACCCTGGGTGCCTTGTGCTGGCGCTAAGCCACAATGTACATACAGCTGGGTCATTGTTTTTAATTAGCTGCTCATTTGGGTGCACAGATATGGCCAACTCCTTCCTCTATAGATCTGGACAGCTTTTTGACCTGATGTTCATGGCCTTGGAATCTAAGCAGCATTTCTGGTAGTTATGGCACAGGTGTTTATAGAAGCCATTACAGGCTGCCAAGGTGAGGACACAGATCCTCAACTCCTGTTTGTATATGCAGAGGGCATGTTCCTCAGTGCCAGTACACCACTGCATCAGGCATCTTCTTGTGTCAGGCAACAAACACATGGAAGGCTCCAGTCAGGCCTGGCACTCATCTGTGACCCTAACTCTTGGGATGCTGAGGCAGGAAGGGGATTGTGAGTTCCAGGCCATGTTCGCATGAGCTAGTAGCCTTAGTTTTTCTTTTTCTTTTCCACTGTGGCTTGTGACTTGTGTTTTTCTTGTTTGATTTTTGCTATGCTAGGGAGAGAGCCCTGGGCCTTACCATCCATGGCAAGCACTTTGTCACTGAGCCATGTCCCGGCCCTGTGACTGTTTCTTTTCTAGGTGTCTGTGTCCCATGACCCTGTGCACCCACCCTTGACTGTTGTCTCTTCTCTGCAGGGGGACTCTCTCAGAAGGAGAGGGCCTGGGGGCTGACGGGCCGGAGCAGAAAGAAGACACGTTTGATGTCTTCCGCCAACGCATGATGCAGATGTACAGACACAAGCGAGCCAACAAATAGGTGCGTGCCAGGACCCAAACCAGCACCTGATGCCATCAGAAAGAGTCTGAGTAAGACAAAGGACTTTTCCTGCCTGTGCCCCTCTTTCTGTCCAGGCATGCACAGGAGGAAACTTCCCTCCACAAAGGGGCTGCCTGCTGGTCCCAGGCTTCCCAGTGCCTCCGCTGGGCTTTGAGCATGCTATCATGGGAGCAGGCCACCCTTGGCCCTGCCTGTTCTTGCTCAAGGTTTCTCTCAAAATTGACAGTCCCTTGCAGGGTCAAGCAGCCTGTACAGACTTGATGATTAATGACCTTGCCCAGCCTACATATTCCTTCTTGTGGACCTCCAGTGGTGGTCTTGTGAAGGCCTTAGGCCTACAGGCCTCATCCTTCCCACTCTTGCCCCCCTCCCCCCTTTTAAACATTTACTGTGTGTATATGTGAAGCAGGTGTGTTGAGGTGCCTGTGTGGAGGGCAGAGGACAACTTGTAAGTCAGTTCTCCTTCCACCATGTGGGACCCTGGGATTGAACTCAGGGCCTCAGGCTTGGTGTCAAGCACCTTTATCCACTGAGCCCTGTCGCCAGCCCTCATTCTTGGTTCTTGACCTTCTCTCCCACAATGCTCCAAACTCAGTTCTGAACAGCCATTCTCTTCCTGACTAGATCAGAGCCACTGGCGACAGAGATAAGCCTCGAAGCAGCCTTGCCCTTCCTGTACCCTGCCCTGGACGCCTGCAGCCTAAGCCTCGGTGTGTACTCGGCCAACTCCACATCCCCGGGTCAGGTTCCACCAGGCCTTGACACTGCACTCAGGCACCCTTGCCTTCTAGCTTTTGACTCTGTCCTTCATCTTGTTCTTCTTTTGTAGGTAGCTCCTCAGCCTTAGTGCCCAGGGCCTGGCTCCCCTGCAAGTTCTCCACACAGCCCCACCTTCCAGAGAGAGCCCTGCCTTCTGTCTCCAGAGCTTATCTGGGCTCTGATGGAGAGGGAGCCATGTGGATTCTTGCTTTTGAGCAATGGTGTCTCAGCTCCTGCAGACTTCTGAGAGCTCTGCAGGCTGAGGCAGGGGAATTAGGACAAGTTAAAGTCTAGCCTGGCTGTGTAGCAGGACCCTGTCTTGGGAGACTTCTTAAAATCTTAGCCCCAGATGAATACAGCTTATATGCCCAGCACATGCTTGTCTCTGTTCCTAGGGAGTGTATCCCGAGGAAAACCCCAGCCTGTGCACTTTTGGCCTTGGTGCAGCTCCCACAAGGCGGTGCTGGGACACTCCTGTGCTGTCTCCATAGACTCTTTCTGGGCCTCTGGAAGGATGAGGCACTGCTCAGCTGCAATGAATGACTGTCTCAGAGCCCTCCTTGTGCCCAGCACTGCCCATGTCTGCCACCCCTGATCTGTGCTGATACTCTCGCTGGGGTCCAGCCTCCCACCACTGGTCTGGTGTCAGCCATGAGCATAGCTGGAGGATCTTGTGTCATAATGCTCAGCTTCTGTTGCCCCACTGTGCCCCTTCTTCATAGCTGCTGCAGTCCCAGGCCCACCTGGCTCTCTTGTCTTGGCAACTCACAGGTCTTTGTAGCTATGAGGATCTTCACTGCAGCTGGGTCACACAGTCTGACCATGAGCCAGTCTATAGGGTGGGAGAAGACAGGGCAGGGACCCAGGCTGCAGCTTCGTCCTCTGGTCTTTTCTTTCACTTTTCTAGCAGCTTCCATGTTGACTGTGGGTTGGAGCAGGACCCTGGCCCATGGTGGGCTCTGCAAGTGGAGCACACAGCTTGTTTCTCCAACTTCTCTCCAGGCATCTGCATTTTGTGCTGATCCATTGGGTCTTCAAGATGATTAAGAAATTGCGGGTATATGGCCCTGGTGCCAAGCAAGTCTCCTGTACTCCTGGAACTGAGACTGTCAGGGACCGCCTCCCGACCTGAGAAATGTCATTCTTGGGTTCTCTTCTGGGGACAGGGCAGGTGGTGGGGAGCGGGAGCACGTACCTCACACCAGTCTGTGCGAGCTGTCGTGACCCTCCTCACATACACCATGCTGTCCTCACTCTCCTAAGGCCACCTTGCTCTCCAGTCAGGCTGCTTTGTGGGCAGGGCTATGGAAGATACCTGATGCACATATGTGTGGCCTTATCCCTGTCACAGTGTTTCTCCTGTCATTCTAGTTCCAGGGTCACTTCCACAAGGGCCATGGATTCCAAAAGCTGTGCTGGCCTGGCTTGCCGTGGCTCTGGCATGCTCCTGTTCCTGGAAGTACTTGGTGAAGGTTGGTTCTGGTCCCTGGTAAAATGCAAAAGAACGCCGATGATGTCACACTTGGACGTTGTTGTGTTTGTGAGGATCTAAGATGTCATGGTGTTGTCCTGTCAAGTGCTCAGAATAAATGAGGAGCAGACCCACTGCCCGGCCCGCCCTGCAGTCACTGAGGCCCCAGCGGGGAAGCATTGGGCGTCTGAGGTCAGCCTGAGTTATGTCATACGCTGTGTGGAAGAACAGGAGATGACTTAGATATAGGGGCTTATGTCTATAATCTCAGCACTAGGGAGACAGGCAGGAGGATATCCTGAGCCACAGAACAAAAAAAGTCAGTCCTGTGAGGAGGGGACATGAAAGGTGACAGTGCAGACCTAGGCCTGACAGGTAAAGGGCCTCTGTAGCGCTGATGACAGTTGTCTCCAGGTCCAGCCCTCATACAGACACTCCCAGGCGTGATGGCAGACTGTCAGCTGAGATTCAGTAACAAGTGTCCCTAGTTGTCTCCAACCCTTGTGGTGAGTGCTTCCACCCTAATAACAGGCACCTCAGGCTTGATGACAGTCCAGGACCAATGAAGCTACTCCTGGACTTTATGACATCTCCCCCAGGCCAGACAACAGCTGCTCCCCAGGCCCACTGTACACTACAGGCCCTTATAAAATCCAAAGTCTCTGAGGGCCTGAGAGATGGCTCAGAGATTAAGAGCATTGACTGCTCCTGTAGAAGAACCTGGGTCAATTCGCAGCACTCACATGGGCAGCTCATAGCTCCAGTTTAAGGGATGTGACACCCTCATACAGACATAACATGCAAACAAAATACCAATGGACAAAATCAGTAAAAAGGAGTAAAAAGTAAAAATTAAACACTGAGCAGTGGTGGCACGCACCATTAATCCCAGTACTCGCAGGCAGAGGCAGATGGCTCTCTTGAGTTTGAGGCCAGCCTGTTCTGGAGAGTGAGTTCCAGAACAGTCAGGGCTACATGGAGAAACCCTGTCTCAACAGCAGACTCTGGTAAAATAAAAATTAATATTTTCTTCAAGTGGGAAGAACCAGGGCACAATCAAAATCAAAGCAAAACTGAACTCCAACTGTGAACAATACCTTGTCCTGTGTCTGGGATCCACTCTTGGTCTGGGCTCCTCCGAAGGACTTGGGTCACTTTTTGGACTCTGCCCTCTGCAGCACACAACTCGTCTAGACTTCAGCTGACTTTCGCTCCACAGCTTCTGTGCTCTTCTCTTGTACCTGGGCTACACTTGGTCAATAGCTCTTTTAGGGTTTCACAGTGCCAAACCTCAGCTTTCCTTGTCTTCAAAACCAGTACAACCTGGGTCTCACACACAAGTGCAAGGGTCCACTGTCAGCCACCTCTGGAACACAGCCTAAGTGTGCTATAGGGTAACACTTCTCAGAAGATTTCACTCCAACAATGCTAGTCTTTTTTTTTTTTTTTCAAGATGGTTTCACTGTGTTTATTGTCCTGAAACTCATTGGCCAGCTGGCCTTGAACTCACAGAGATCCTCCTTATTGTGCCTCCTGAGTGCTGGGACTGTGCCACCACCACACTGGCTGCCCTCAGTGTTCCTGTATTCCATGCTCCTACAGAACAGCCCACAGAGCTCTCAACACTCGGTGGCTATCGAGGTTTATTTTGGGGTTAAGCCCATTAAACCTCTCAGGGTCCAGAAAGATTTGCTATGGCAGGGAAAACTGGCTGGGGAGAGGGATCTGAGGGGTAGAACAAGTGTTCCTCCTGCGTGTTTATTCCTTGGGGAAGAAGGGAAGAAAAAAGGGGGTCATTCTTCACAAAGCTTTCAGTTTATATAGGCAGACCTTTCGAAAAGTTAGCAATTCCATGGGCAGTAACCAGAGTATCAGGCAGGCATTTTCAGAGTCACAGAAGCCAGTGGATCTGATAAGGAGGGCTTCACATCTCAGCAGGTGTGCCTATGAAGTGTTGGGAACTCTGGGAACTCGGCCTTGGGTAGTCAGAATGACCTAAGGGCTTGATTTGCATTAGTGGCAACTTTGTTTTTGACTCCAACAGGGTGCCTAGGTGAGAATTTTTCTCTCTAAAGCTAGTTTTAGCGACTCCGGGCCTTTTTCCTGTCTAAACAGCTAATCTCCTAGGCTATGACTTATGTTAACTGAAACCAAGGAGAAGGGTAATACAAAATATTAGTAGCTTGTTAGGTCAGAGCAAAAGTCAGTAGATCACAGCTACTTGAGTCTGCTGCTATAGCAGACTTGGGCTCCCTTCTTGTCAGTAAGTGCTGTCAATAAAATTGTGGGGCCCTAGTTTTATGCAGATTTTTGCTTTGAGGATGAAGGTTTGACTTGAGTACAATGCTTTCACACCAGGGCTTCACTGTGTGGGGAAGGTATCCGGCTGCCCTACAGGAAAAGTCAGGTTTATACACTGCTGGGAGACTAGAGAAGGGAGAAATGCCGTGATTTCACAAGATTTTTACAGAATTGACAGTGACTTATTCAAAGACAGTTGTTTCCGTAGCTCTGCAAAACGGGTTACTCCATGTGGAGTGTCCTTACTCCTGTGGCTTGTCCAATAGATCTTAATGTATAGAATACTTGTGGGTGAGCTCACCACAGGCGGTCTCAGTGACCTTTCTAGCTTCAAGTTCCAAAGTCCTCTCATAGTGCTCCCAAAAACATGGTCAGGGCTGTCACAGCAATGTCTACTTCTGATGCCAACTTGTCTAAGATTTCTATTGCTGATGAAACATCACCAAAAACAAGCTGGGGAGGAAAGGGTTTATGACTTACATTTCCACAGCACTGTTCATCATCAAAGGAAATTAGGACAGGAACTTCTACACCCAAGGCAGAAACCTGGAGGCAGAGGGCATAGAAGGGTGCTGCTTACTGGCTTATTCCTTACAGCTTGCTCAGCCTGCTTTCTTATATAACCCAGGACCACTAGGCCAGGGATGATACCACCCTTGGTGATGAGATGGGCCCTCCCCCATTGATCACTAAGAAAATGCCTTATAGGCCTTCCTGCATGTTATAAAACGATTCCTGCGCCCCCCCAGGCGGGCTGACGGAGCCCGCCATGAGAAAGCGGCTACAGGAGGGCACGCTTCCTTGGCCCACGGTGGCGGCAGGTAGCAGACACGTAAACACAGGAAATAGCCATAAGTATTAAGGAAGGGGGAGAAAGAAAGACAGAGAAAAGAGATAAAAGGAGAGAGGAGAAATAAAAGGAGAGAGAGACAGAGAAAACGTGTGCGCACGCCAAGGAAGCAGAAAGAGAGGAGGGGGTCCCAAGATGGCGATGGTCAGAGGTTATGGGAGTGGGCGTGGCTAGGGCAGGGACCAAAAGAATAACACTGCACCCTTTTCTTAATTGATGTCCCTTCCTCTCAAATGACCCCAGCTTGTGTCAAGCACACCCTGAGACTTTGAATGTAGGGCTATTTATAAGTAGTGAAATGTGTTCATACAGGAGATTGCTCCCCTCGCTCAGCTTCCATAGTCTTGGGAGGCTGAGGATGGGTCTAAACAATAGACTGAAACATGGAAAACAAAATCCAGATAGCAAACTGTGTGTTCTGGCCACTTGTATGGTCATGTCTGGTTGGGACACTAAAGCAGGAGGGTCCCTTGACCTGGGAATCTTGGACCCTACACAGAGACCCCCCCCCTACTCAACACAAGCCAGAGTAGAGCAGGAAGCTCCCCTCCTCACACATCCCCAAAGTCAAATGACAGGCAAATGAGGCCCAGCAACATAAAACAGCTCCCAGGTGTTTCTTTAGGAATACTTGGCCTTGCTGGGTGGTGGTGGTACACACCTTTAATCCCAGCACTTGGGAGGCAGAGGGGGGGGGGCACCTCTGTGAGTTCAAGGCCAGCCTGGTCTACAAGAGCTAGTTCAGGACAGGCACCAAAGCTACAGAGAAACCCTGTCTCAAAAAAACCAAAAACAAACAAACAAAAAAATACTTGGCCCTTGTGAAGCAGAACAGAGACCTGTCTCCTTCCAGGGGTGCTCTGCACTCACAGCTGCAGGGAAAGTAGGTTTAAGACAGTTTGCTCACAGCCGTTTTGTTGTCACTTGAAAATTTTTTTTTAACTTATTTATTTATTAATTTATTATGTATACAATATTCTTTCTGCATGTATGCCTAAAAGCCAGAAGAGGGCACCAGACCTCATTACAGATGGTTGTGAGCCACCATGTGGTTGCTGGGAATTGAACTCAGGACCTTTGGAAGAGCAGGCAATGCTCTTAACCGCTGAGCCATCTCTCCAGCCCTTGAAAATATTTTTAATGACGTTTATTGAAGTTGGCTCAGTGGCTAAGAGCACTGGCTGCTCTTCCAGAGACCAGGGTTCAATTCCCAGCACCCACATGGCGGTTCACACCATCTAAAACTCCAGTTCCAGGGACTCTGACACCCTCTTCTGGCCTCAGTAGGCACTGTACAGACATTCATGCAAGTAAAATACCCATACACATAAGGTCTTAATTAAAAATTGGTGTGTGTTGCCAGGTGGTGGTGGCACACACCTTTAATACCAACACTTGAGAGGCAGGGGCAGGTGGATCTCTGATTTCAAGGCCAGCCTGGTCAACAAAGCAAGCTCCAGGACAGCTAGAACTATTACACAGAGAAATCCTATCTCAAAAATTAAAAAAAAAAAAAAGTTGGTGTGTATGTGTGGTGAGTGAATATGGTTGCATATGCCACCCCCTCTTGTGAAGGATGGGAAGTCAGTTCTTAACTTCTAGCCTGCAGGTTAAACTCGAGTCATACCGTCTAGCAGCGAGTGCCTTTATTCCCTGACTTGTCCTATTGGCCCATCACTTGCTTCCACTTAGGCTTTTTTTAATATATTTAATTTTATATATGGATGTTTCACTTACATGTGTATATGTACCATGTGCTTGCCTGGTTCCTGTGGAGGCCAGAAGAGGGCATCAGATCTGGAACTACAGTTACAGATGGCTGAGTAACCATTGATTGCTGGGCATTGAATCCTGGTCTTCTGGAAGAGCAGCCAGTGCTCTTAGTCACTGCTCCATCTCTCTAAACTCTTCATTTGGTTTTAGAGACAGGATTTCAATGCACAGCTCTGCTGGCTTGGAAGTCTCTGTGTAGAACAGCACCAAATTCACAAAGATCTCTCTGCTTCTGCTCTGTTCCTGAGTGCACATCATAGAATAAAAGTACACGTGTACACACACATACACAGGTTATCAAGAAACATGCCCCTTGCCTCCATCCATTTGGTCCCACTTGCCAGGCCTCTAAAGTCCCCGAGTTCAATGGCATCCTCCCTAATGTCCAGCTCTATACCCCTTCACAGCCCTCTACTGTGAGGCATTGGGGGAGAGGATAGGGCAGCTGGAGCTACTTGCTCCCTCCTATAGTCCAGACAGTCTTGCACCAATGCCACTGTTCTGTGGTCCAGGAACCAGCATCTGTCCCTGCAGATCTTGTGGCCTGGGTAGAGTATCAGGGACCACACTGCTGGTGGCCAGTGGAGAGACTGGCTAACATTACAGAGTGACCCAGTACTGGGCTGCTCTTCTCTTCCTTCTTGGGTCCACTGCCCTGCCAGCTGTCTACCACATTTGCAGGAAGGGAAACAGACCTAGGAATAGCTGTGTTGCTAATCCTTTAGAGCATATTTTTCTGTCTTATTGTGACAGCAGGCAGCCATGCTTCCAGCTCAGTAATGGTTTACATCCTGACCTTCTGGTTCTGAACTTGGTGTATAGAATACAGGTACCTGCACCCCAATTGCCTTGCCATGGCTCACTCTCCTTGCATACACAACTCCTGCTGCCTTTGGTTGGTATAAAAAATGAAGCTTTGTTAAACCCAGGCTGCCTGGAATCTGATCCTCCTGCCTTGGCCTCGCATATGCAGGGATGACATGAGTGGACCCCCCCCCCCAATAGTAGTACTGTATTTATATAAATCCAGCCCCAGTTGTATAAAGTGAGGAAGGACATCACCCTTCAAGTACGGTCGAAGAGAAGACTTTTATTGTATGAGGAGAGTCTAGAGCTGGGAGAGAGTGGTCTAAGTATGGCCAGCAGACTGGATTGGACGATGAGAGTGGGCAAAGGAGACCCAGAGGGGACCGAGAGTGAGTGGCTGAAATGGGTCAGGGTTATTTAGGAATGAGAAGCTGGGGGAAGGGAAGCCATGAGCTGGAGAAGTTTAGGGTAGGGTTCAGCCTGGAGGTCAGCAGATACTTGCTATGCTAGTAGGCACCGCAGATAGACATTTATCCAGCGTTTCTTTTGGACTTGACAGTATTGCAGTTGTAGAAACAAGAATAGGCTGAAGCAAGATGATCACATGAAGACAGACATTTAGGTTTAGCTCTGGTGACATCTCAACTATGGAAGAAGGGGGCATGGTGGTGCTCACCTTCAATCTTAGTGTCTTGAGTCCAGCCTGGGCTACACACTGATACCATGTCCCCCTCCCCCACCAAAAAAAAACAGGGTAGAAGAGAGGAGGAAAATCTCACACAAGTTCCTTTCTAGTGTTTGGAGCTCAAAGGAGGTTGAGCCCTGTGGTTCCGTGGGATTTGCTGATTTGCCCCTTGGCAATATGAGTTGACACTGGTGAACATTTAAGTCTGGGAACAAGGCTGAATGAAATACTTAGCCTTGGGATACTATTGACAAAGGAGTAGGTACCTAAATGGTCGACCAATACACCCAGGGTGTCTCACACACTAGGGAAGAGCTCTCCGCCAGAGAGAGCTCCTTTAGCAGCTCTTTTTAGCAGTTCCTGTCTGCGCACACCTTGAACCCCATCCCTGCGGAGGCATGAACCACCACACCCAGCTTCCCCAAGATACTTTTAAAAACCCTGCACACCGAGGAGGGACGTGGGCATATCATTCACTCCCCTAGCCTGGACCTTGTCGGAAGGGGAGTGCCAGGGAAGAAGGCAAACAGGAAGTGAAGATGGCAGGCTGTCACATGCTGGGGAAGCTGCATCTGCTAGCTTTTCTTTGGGAAACAGCTGTGGTCCACTGAGAAAAGCCTGATTTAAACCAAAAGGCCATCTTCCTGTGCTGACGAAGGAAAGGCTCACTTCCCACGGGCCTGCAGACGTTCAGCTCACTACGTGTTCAAGGAGCGCACAGGTTCCTACCCTACATCTGAGACCGACCACAATGAGACTAGATACCGCAGGGTTTCTTTAGAGAACGCCTCCAAGGAAAAGGGGGGTGGGAGAATAAGACCCTGGGGCCCAGCCTGGGAGGAAGATCCGCAGTACCGCAGTGAAAGGAACAGTCCTGTGGTGAAAATAATCGTGGCTATCAGGAATAATGAGCATGAATTCCTTCCCACTCCTGTGACAGCAATCTGAGAGAGAGGCTTTTAAAGATATTTTTAAAATATATTCGTGTCTTTGTGGGAGGGGTGCAGTGCTCAAGGAGACCAGAAGAGGGCGTCGGATCCCCTGGAGCTGCAGTTACAGGTGGCTGTGAGCGCCCTGGTCCTCCGCAAGAGCTGTCTGCTCTCTATAATCACTAGTCTCCCGCCCCAGAGAAGTGGAAGAAGTTTGACCGTCAACTGTTCCCCAACACACTCCTAGGTTAAACACTCGGACCTTAGTGGTCGGTGGTTTAAAAAGGGCCTGGACAGTTTGGATGCTCACCTTACTAGACCTGGATAGAGGTGGGTGGTCCTTGGACTTCCCACAGGGCAAGGAACCCTGATTGCTCTTTGGGCTGACGAGGGAGGGGGACTTGATTGGGGGAGGGAAATGGGAGACGGTGGCAGGGAAGAGACAGAAATCTTTAATAAATAAAGTTAAAAAAAAAAAAGGGCCTGGAACCAAGGATGGGGACATTCCCGAGAAGGGATCACACTGGGCTTCCGGGGACAGAGTGCAGCAAAAGCTTTGTGTGTAGTTTTTTTTTTGGGGGGGGAGGCGGGGGCACTTGAGAACAAGCTAGAAATCCAACCTGAGTCCGACTTTTTCAAGTATCAGTGGCGGTATGATGATGTCCCCACAGAGGCCAGAGGAGTGGTCACATTCCCTAGTGTTGAGTTACAAGTGGTCGGGGTGCTGGAAACTGAGCTCTGATCTTCTGCAAGAGCAGCCAGTACGCTGAACCTCTGGACTCTGTCCAGCCCCTGGTCATACATTTTGTGAGTGTAATAAGCCGGGCGGTGGTGGCTCACGCCTTTAATTCCAGCATCGGAGGCTGAGGCGAGTGGATCTCTCTGAGTTCAAGGTCAGTCTGGTCTACAGAGTAAGTTCAGGACAGCCAGGTCTACACAGAGAAACCCTGTCCCGAAATATAAACGAACAAAAAAGATTAAGAAGATGTGAAATTTGCTATTTTACCCTGAGCACACCTGTCATCGCAGCACTCTGAAGGTGTGGGCTACAGACGAGTGCCAGGTCAGCTTGGGCTATGTGAGCCCCTAACTCAAGTATTACCTTGGTGACATATATCATATATACACTACTGCACAATCATTTCGTTCCAGAGCATTCTGAACGCCTTTAACACACGCCTTTAATCCCAGCACTCGGGAGGCAGAGGCAGAGGCAGGCGGATCTCTGTGAGTTCGAGACCAGCCTGGTCTACAGAGCTAGTTCCAGGACAGGCTCCAAAGCCACAGAGAAACCCTGTCTCGAAAAACCAAAAAAAAAAAAAAAAAAAAAAAGATCCCATTAGCAGCCATTCTGTATTCTCAGCACATGTATATATCTGCTCTGATTAAGATTTTTTGTGTGTTTCTTGCTGAGAATAGAAGCTGGAGCTTCCTGCAGGAGCAGCTTGTTGGACAAATGTGCCTACCAGGCCACATACCCTCAAACCCTTACTGACTGTTGAACTGTTTACTGCCATGCCCCTCATGTGGTAATTTTGTTTTGTTTAGCTTTGTTTCTGTCAGTCTACTGAATGCCGAATCAGAGTGTGTTCAAGCCTCCACAGGAGAGGGTCAGGGCCCATGCCAGGTGGGTGGATCTGACTTGAGCACCCTGTGTTTATCTCACTCCCTTAGCTCTGGCCTCCTGCACCCATTCAGGCCCACCGTCCATGGCTACCCCATCTACAAGAGGGAGGCCAGACATACCAACCTGATTGTGAGGAGTTGGAGCCTCACAGATGGTGGGTCTGGATATTGGCTATGTATTTGGGTCTAAACAGCCTCAAGGAGTCATGCTACCTGCCACCCCCTTTTCTTCTATACCAGAGGAGACTGTTCTCATATTGTTAGCCATGAACATAAACAGCTTCAGGCAAAAATTGACCTCAAGAGCCCCATGCCAATCAGACTGGCTCCAAGCATCCATTCTAAAAATTGAGCTTATTTCTATAATTCTATTGAGTTCATGGTCGGAACTTTCTAACTTGGCAAACTTCTATTCATTCTTCAAACCCTTCACCCCCACATTTCTTCCTTCATGTGTTTATACAAATGCTTTGCCTGTCTACTCTGTGGCAGAAAAAAGGGATCTGTCACTGTGTGTAGCGCCCGTGCCACTACTGGTCGTTTTGCGAGTCTCAGGCTAGGGCCTGGAGATTTAAACACATAGACACACAGAGACAGAGACGGGGACATGGGTCATTCTGCGCTTACATAGGGATTCTTAACTGATAGCCATGCCCCAGCCCTCGGAATCTTTCAGCTGCAGGCCTCACCAGAACCCACTCCCCTGCCATCAGTGTCTCATGCTCAGAGCAGCTGCAGGCACAGGTAAACAAGTTGTTTTGCTCAGTTCACTCCAGCACACAAAGGGTCTGAGGCAGGCAAAGAAAGTCAAGGGGCCCCCAACATCCGTGTGTCTCCGTGTGTTTGTGTGTTTATGGCACATCGTATGTGTGGGGTCAGAGGGAAACTTGGGGGAATACTGTCTTCCAACGTGTGGCTCCCAGGGATCAAACCCAAGTCTTCAGACTTTGCAGCAAGCACCTTTACCTGCTACACCAGCCCATGAGGCTTCAGTTATCTCTGGAGCACTCTTTCCAACCCTGGGTCTATGTCTGTACCCGGTCTTCTGAGACCTCAGGGACATGCCCAGCAAGATGTACCCACGTCTTTACTTTGTTTGTTTATTTTTCGAGACAGGGTTTCTCTGTAGCTTTGGTGCCTGTCAGGGAACTAGCTCTTGTAGACCAGGCTGGCCTCGAACTCACAGAGATCCGCCTGCCTCTGCCCCCCCTCCCCCAGTGCTGGGATTAAAGGCGTGCACCACCACCGCCAGGCTTTTTACTTTTTTTTTTTAATATTTATTATGTGTACAGCATTCCTTCCATGTGTGCCCGCAAGCCAGAAGGGGGCGCCAGGTCCCATGTGGTTGCTGGGAATTGAACTCAGGATCTTTGG